GAACCCAGCCCACCCAGGTGACCTTGACTTATGAGCTTTTGCTGGCCCTTGAAAAAAACTGAAATAAAAGCAATTGCTCAAGTTCAAGGCCGCAGATTGCGTGTGAAAAAAGAAAACAGAGGCACTAAACTAATTCTTTTGTCGCCAAATGAGCTGCATTTCAATTGGTTTTAATTAACACGAAGAAAAATAACCACAGACAAGAGTAATTATGAGGGCCACATGTACTAAACTCTACACAAATTGACATTTTATGAATCACTGTTAAGAGGGCTTTAACTTTACTGATAAGTCAGGGGGACGACCCTTATCAATGGAACGAATAACTGCAGAGCGATAAACAATGGCTGGCATTCACATTTTGGGTTCGATTAAGTCATGGCCGAAGGTGTCGTCATTGACACGCGTGACCATTTGGAAACACCGGAAAAATATCCAGATTAAATAAAAGGGGGAATCCACAAAAAACCCATATGAAAAATTCACATTTGTAAATCAATCATCAAATCATTTTTTACTGCAACAATAAATATCTTTAAAAACGAAGTTATTAATAAAAAAAACCTTTAGCAGCATTCTTAATTTCTTTCAGTGTATCCTCTCTAATCACATTACCTTGATAAAGACACTTGGATTATTTCCTTAACTATTAATGTTAAAAATTATGTAAAAAGAATACCTTAAACATTTTTATAAAGAAAACAACAGCTTTAAAAATGATTTTCAAGTGTAAACCCTCTTAGACGGGAAACCACTTCACCCTTGACCATCATTTGAATGCATTTCCATTTCAATTGAATACGGCACAGCTAGCCGATGGCAAACGAAGCATGGAAAAGCTGACCAAACGCAAGTTTCAATTGAAAAGCCTTTCCCCAACCCCTCACCGCCTTTGCCAAGTTTTTCCCCCCTCTACGCCCATGTGATTTGAGTGGCAATATGTTGCGGCGATCGCTGCTTAATTCCAAAGAGTTTACGATGGAAAGTGTTTAGGAGCAGTCATCCCATTCAAACCATCCATCAGCAATTGCAGCTGATGAGTTGTGCATTAGCCAAATGAAATGGGGAAAATAAAATACAAATGTGCATCTGGAGGTCAAGAGAGTCCAGCTGATTAAAGCGGCTTTTCCGAGGGGTTAAGGTTACTAATGATTGAGAAATGAAGAAATATTAATCAAATGATTTCCGTTTATGAAATACAAGATTGTATAATGTAAAAGAAAGTACAAAACATTTCTTTAATGTATCGATGAAAAACAAAGATCAACATGTTCTTAAAAAAATGTCATACTATCATTTTGATATGAATAAAGATTATGTTTATCTTATTTTACAATATTTCAATATTCAAAAAAATACTAAATTTAGTATTTAAAAACAGTATTTTTAAAAATTTTATTTTGATGTTTGAACATAAATTTGACTTTAATAAGGTAGAAATTACCCTATTTCATATCGATTTTTTCTGTGAGGTTTATTATTATGAAGAACAGTCAACACAAGTAAACAAAGTAAAGACCTTAGAATTCTTTGGAATCCACTGCACTTAATCTCCGCGAAGAGCCATTAGAAGCGAGGCCTTGGGGTTCATTCAGGTCTTATCAGTTCATTGATATGGAATGCCATATAGTTTACCCGATGAGGGGACCCGCATATTTTTCCTCCAAACATAAAGATAAACGAAAAGAGGCGCAGGGCAATTCAAGTTGATTTCTAGATCGGAGAACAAACATTAAATAAACTTGGCATACTTTTTTTTATAGAGTCCCTTGTCAGGGACGGAAGCATACATACATATTATAGATCGCAGACTGAGCGAGAGAACTCATATCTCTAATTTTCTATTTATTTCCCTACCCTCTTTTTTTGATAAGCCGGAGCAGCAAAAGTCTGAGGAATCGCGATAAGATAGGCGGGTAGGCGAAAAAGCAAGCTAAAATACAATTTTGCCATTCGAATTCGAGGCTGAGTCACCAGAAAGTCACAACTGTTGAATGCACTCGACCAGCAACAAAAATAAGCTGCGAAAAGTAAATTATTTGCATATCAATAAAGCGGTTCTGTTCGCTTCGCCGGCGACGAAATGCAAACGAAAAATAATTGAAAACAAAATTGAATGTTCTTTGCCATTTTTTTGTTTTACATTGTACATTCACGCTTTTGCCGGGGCATATCCGGCGGTTATAATTCGCAATTTTTATTATTAGCATTTCGAGGGAAAGTTAACTTTTTAGTGATATAAGATTCCTCTTAAAATCCCTAAATAAATTCGCAATAAACTGTCAAGAGGATTTTTAAAATCATATTGGGTTGTACAAAAAATAGTTGCATACTTTTAGACACCTTTATAAGAGATTTGAAAACAGTTGTGATCTAAAATTAGTTAAATTACTTATTTTAAGTGTTACAAAAATTTAAAATCTATTAGTAATGACAAACATTTAAAAAGATTTATAAACTTCTAAAATTTACATTTATTTCAAATGAATTAATTAATCTTTTCTTTAATTTGTAACACTAGGGACCGACAGAAATTCACCTTTAATGACTCACTCCTTTTATAGATAGAGTATTCCCCCATCGCCGAACGCATGCCCTTAATTCGTTGGCAATTCCGCGAATTGAATGTGACTCATAAAGCGATCCATCAGGTCTTACAAAATGAAGAAATATGAGGGGATTATAGGCAGAGAAAGAGTTTTATAAGAAGTGGCTAATGGTAATGGGCCAACTGAGGGCGTGGTCCCCGCGAGTTCTTGATTAACCCATTCCGCCACCCACGCAAAAGTCAATTCCAGAAAAAAATCCAGGCGTGCCAAAGGCAATTTATTAAATTGTCAGGAAAGCTTCGTCGTATAAGGAGTGTTTGCAGCCCCCTAGATATGAATATGATAAGATAAAAAGCCAAGCAAAATGTATGGCAAATAAGAAATCTGATAAAATGTTTTCATTTTGCGATTCATTTGTGTTGACCATTGATTGCCATTGTTGCCTGTTTTTCAGTGTTTTTTGTGTTGGCGTTACATAAACGCCAGTCGGAATCACTTAAACACAAGCGGAAGAAAGCAGCTTTGTTTGGGATGCAAATGTAGTAAATGTAGGTATATTTGTGTATATAGAGAGCTGGCCTCTTCCATTGTCTGTCTGAAGTCCCATGGAAATTGTTCATCAAAAGAAATCATCAGTAAAAACTGCTGCGGGTGCGGTGCATATTTTTTTTAAGGAGGGGTCTTTCAATCAGCTTCCATTATCAGCCGGCAACATCGGGAAAAAGCAGAAAAAAAATATATATACAAAGGCGATGGCTCCACAATCTTGGGTTCTGTTCATAAAGAAGCCATAACATAACAAGGTTGAAATGCACATTAAGATTTATTAATATTGTCCGGCACAGAGTTCCTCTCGATCCCGGATTATCTCTTTGTAGAGCACTGAACAGTAGCCAAAGGGTCAGAAAAGGGTCGGCTTTTGAACTGATTGTTAGGAAAAATCTATAAAAAGCTTGAAAAATATAAGAAGCAAAAAGAATGTAAACTAATCTTCTATATTTAGGCTTTGTTTTGCAACCAAATTCAAGGTTACTTTAATAAATATCCTATTAACAAGTACTATCAAATTGAAATGCCAAATATGTGGTATTAAATAATCAGTGGAGTGATTTCGCAATTTGAAATTTAGAGTAACAAAACACAGTTGATAAGAAAGTGGTTCATGAAATATTTTTATGAATTTTTAGAACTCAATAATTTGCAAAATAATCCAAGGAATGTATAAAATTTTATTTATTTCTATTTTTAAAACCAAGTAAAAACTCCCTATTTGACGCAACAAAAGAGATGGATTTTTATTTTATAACCAAAAAGACTTAATTAGCCTTCATTCAAAGTTGCTTACAAAAGAGTTAATTAAAATGTTAGAAACCGCAATATTTTCATCGGATTTCGCCCTGAATCATAGCTTTTTTTTTTAGCTGACCCGAAAGAGAGGCAGAGAGAAAATTTCCACTAATTTGCATCGCAGAACATTTGTTCTCCAGTTCCCATTGTGAATTTGAAAAGTTTTCAGGGGGTTAAGTGCCGGGCAGCGAAAATGAAATTGATGGCAACATGAAATCATCAAAAACGCAGAAATTCTCATTTAAAAGACCTTTTCTTCGGCCAGCCTCTAAAACCGGTTTGTTTTTATATTTTAACCTTTACTACATGTGTTTGTTAGCCAACTTTTGGTTTATTGCTGTAAAAATCGTGGTCGTTAAAGGTGTGAAAATAAACAACAACCGGGCTTTAACCGAAGAACCGTTAGTCAGCCACGGGGATTTGATTTAAATTCGAGTCAGAAAGGAAAACAAAAGAAAAATCCATGTGTCCTTGGGTTAAGATGACACACCCACCCCGAAAAGCAACAAAAACAAGAAGCGATTTTCGGGCGCACAAAATGCGAATATGGTGAACAAAAGGCAGACGGCGAAAATAGGCGGACCCACCCCTAAAAACTAGGAAAAATACAACAACAAAAACGGGCAAGGAATGGGAGTTTTCGGGTGGTTGAGTCTTAAAATACCCTTTAAGTTTTAAGAACAGTTTGGAAATGTTTTTGATGTCTTGTAATAGGATAATGATTTGGTATAATAGACAAACATTTTTAAAAAGTAGATCATATTTTATGTATTCACTTTTTCTTATTGTTCCTTTAGTACAATGTCTTTTATGATACTTCTGATATCCTATAAAAAATTGTAAAACTAAATAAAAAAAAGATTTTTATGTTTTAAATGAGTTTAGCTATCCTAAAATTATAATCATTGTGTTTCTATCAGAATCTATAAACCTAGTAAATAAAATTTCTATAATATGTGTCCCCAAAATTAAAGTATCCAACTTTTTAAGGGTATTACAAAAGAAATATTCTGCTAATATCTACAGATCTTTTAGTTAAGACTCCCTTTTATCATAAAACCCATTTTTGAGAGGGTATCAAAACTGCAGGAGTGTAAAACTTACTGTTGTTGTCCATGTTGTTAACTGATTACTTGGTGGCCAGCGTTTTCAGCAGGTTCAATGCACGGCAGTATTTTCTTCGCTTTCTTGTTGTATCTTAAATACGAGTTTATGAATCACGCGCGTTAACCGCGAAATAAAAAAAAACGGAAGGTAGGAATTACCTAGAATTTTTTTTTATATATATCTTCGACGTGTTTTTTTTGTGTTTATTTTGACCCTGTTTGTTTCAAATTTCCACAAAGAGCGCGGGGGAAAGAGACGGGGCGAGAGTGGGAGAGAGAAGGAGAGAGCGCATTTAATTTCGCGTCACGTAGAAATTTTTTTCTTATTTATTTGCTGCAGCTCTTTTGTTTGTCTCGTTTTTCGTTGCACTTTTTACTTCTTATCTTCATTCGCTTCCTTTTCGGCTTCCTTTTTCTTATTTGTTAACACGCACTTGCATTTCGTTCTTCCTTTTGCACTCCCATTCGTATGCACTCTTTTATTTACTTTGCTTTGCTATTGATTTTCGCTTTTCACACTTTGTAACGGTTGTTTTTTTTTCGAACGCCGAAACACTTTTGAGGTTGCCTTTGCAATGTGTTGAATTTGGCTTAATTAAATGCGCTTTTTGGCCAGGGAATTGGTAGCAAAATCGGTTTTTAGCGGAGCGAAAAAAACGCGAACACGCCGACGAAACACCCACACCACAACAACAACAACAACCGCTCGCTGCCGTGTGACCGTTGACGGTTATCGGGTAAATCTCACCTTTGGGCGTTAGTGGGGGTGCGAACCACGGTTCGGAGCTGGGGTGGGTATAGCGGGGACTGGAACCTAGTAGGGGGATTCCTTAAAGAAATTAAATGCTATTTGTACTTCTCTTAATAAAAACTCTTTTTTAATCCAAAACTTGATTTCTAACTGTTTTTATACACTAATTTTAGGTAAAAATTACCATTTTAAAAATTATATTAATTTTAAACCAAATCGCTATATCACATATACAGTTCCCTTATGTGAATTATTGCTTATTTTACAAACCTAAAATTAAACCTAGTTATAAATTGTACTTCCATTTAAACGTATTTTACACTAAAAATTACCATTTCTATAAAATATATAAGATCAAATTGTAAGCTTATTTAATTGCACAAAATTAAATTAAAGATTCCTTTTGAAAACCAATAAAAACTTGATTCCATTTTAGATTTAAAAACTATTCTTTTTTTTGCATTAATTTGCTCAAAGTAGTTTTAATTCAGTTCTTGATTTCATCAATTGTTCGGAACAACTGGTATGACAGTTCTTTAATAAATATTAACCGAGAATCTCCATTTGTGACCTTAATAGGCTATCAAAAGACCCTTGGCGACCTCCTGGGCTTTTTCTTTGCCCGCCAATTCCTCGGAAATTTTAAGAGCAAATTCATAGGCGGTTCCAGGACCTCGACTAGTAATGAGATTACCATCCTTCACCACGTTCTTGTCATCCACATAGCTAAAAGAGGAGATATTAATATAATATAAAAAATTTCTATAAATATTAAATACCTGTATTTATCCACTAGCTGGGGTTTCATCGAGGGATACGAAGTGAGGGACTTTCCCGAGGCGATTCCATGTTTGGCCAAAACGGTGGGCGCGGCACAAATAGCGGCGATGAGACCTCCATTCGATTCCTGGTTCTTCAGAATGTCCCCGACCAATGAGGACTCTCCCATGGCATTGGAACCGCCCAATCCTCCGGGCAAAACCACAACATCGAACTTATCCCCGGAAACTTTGGCCAACGAAGTGTCGGGAAGAATTTGGACGTCCCTCGAGCACTTTACCGCCTCCGCATCGTTCAACCCGGCAACGGTGACCTTGATCTATGAGAACATATAGTAAGATATATCGAATTTAGCAGGTAAAGTATAGAACTACCCCCGCACGACGCAAAACATCGGCGGCTATGATAAACTCCATTTCCTCTGCCCCGGGGGCCAAAATAACCAGCGCACTTTTCGACATTTTAACAAAATTACAAAAGTTCCTAGAAATTAAGGGAAAACCGAAAACCATATATATTTATATATATATATACGAACTAGTTCCACCATTCGACGGTGAATGGTGAGCGACGAATCCGACGTAGCCTCCCTGGGTGGCGGCTCATTTGAATCTGATGAATAATGAATTATTATAATTATAGCGCTAATTATATTTATATAATATATATTTTAAATATTTATTTAACCTAGATTTAATTTATTAAATAAATTAATAGTTACAATCATTGAATCACTATTTTTATTTTTTGTAAATATTTAATAAGTATTTTGAAGTTATTAATTAAATAACGTTTATAAATATTTTCAACTTGATAATATGTAAAAATATAAAGTAATCATCATAATCATATATTCTTTAATTTTTTAGATAATAATAATATGAAAATCGCAATTCGTCAATTAGACAAACATCGATACGTTTCCATCGACTTTGCCTCATCTCTAATCTAGCACGATATATTAACGCAACTATGAGCATATCATATCGATTAACTCCTCAATTTGGACCAACATTTTTAATTGAACTTTTTGAGATTTTTTAGGGAAAAATGTTCATCTGGCAACACCGCAGATTCGGTTCGGCCAGCGCTGTAAAAATTATGTATAAAATCAATTTATGCAAACGCGCATCGAAAATGTCCGGAAAACGCGATTAATCGCAGGCGAAAAGTGAAAAACCCGAATCGCGAGTGAGAAAAGTGGGAAAGCAACAACAAATACCTGCGATTTGTCAACAAAACGCAGGGAAAAAAGGGGGAAAAGGAAACGCGAGAACAAAGAGGCGAAAAGCGAGGAAATTGCGTGGAAAACCCGAGGAAAAGTGGAAAACGCGAAGGAGCCAAGGTAAAGGCGGAAAATGCCTGGTGAAAATGCAACGTTTGCAGCTGGAATTTGCGTATTTTCCAGTCCAAAAAAATGCAATATCTGATCTGTTGAATGTGCGACTGTGTGTGCGTGTGTCCCAGTGCGTGTGTGCATATGCCAGTGTGTGCGTGCATTTCCAATTGTCTGTGTGGAAAAGCGAGGAAAATTGCACGGAAAAACGCACAAAAAGCAATCAAAAATGTGCGGAAAAGTGCCTGAAAACGAAATGCGAAATACACACACAAATGCAACAGGCCTGTATTTACATATTTCGCTCTCGCTCTCTCGTGGAATAACTACGTGTGTGTGTGTGTGCTTGTGTGGGGGAGAGCGAGGGAGAGAAAGAGAGAGAGCCAGAGGTTGCTACACAAATCGGATTAAATTCTTCTATCTTCCGTCTCCCTCCCACCACTGGTATCTGTGAAAAACTATTAATCTCAAGAAAAAATATTAAACTTAATTCCAGTGTAAATTGGAATTCCTTTCGTTTATCCAACGACATTAGGCAAGGTCAATTTATGGCCGGAATTTTTGTGGAGTTTTTCAGCTTTTCCTTAAACATTTTCCAACCTCTGCTAAGTGGAAGGTATAGATTTAAAAAAAATAATATTACAAAAAACCACCACCAAATTTAAATGCAATTGAACAAATACTTGTTTGAAAAATTATAAAATGAAAAAATACAAAAAATGAAATTATAACTAAGAATATAAAAAACCTTGAAACGATATAACTATATTTTCAATTTTCAAATGTAAATAACAATATTTACAATTTCCCGTGCTATTCTTAATCACAAATCTAAACCTTTTTTAAGCACTTGACAAATTAATGTAATCATAATCATCTTTCTTTTATATTTACTTTTAAAAAAGATACGAATTTATAACCAATTTTTTTTTTTTTAAATATTATGGTTTCTAAAAAGTTTCCTGCGTAAATTCTTATAGGCAATGCCCTCTGCAATCGAAATCTTGCTTAAAAACTTGACAAATGAATGTAATCATAATCGTATTCTTTTTGTTACTTTTAAAAAAGATACAAATTTATAACCGAATTTTTTTAAGCAAACACCATGGGTACTCCAGAATTCTCTGCGTAAATCCCTATAGGCAATGCCCTCTGTAACCAAGGAAAAGAGCAACTTTGTGACAATATAGGCAACCGTGGGCAGCAGCTGCCTCCGATTTCCATATGAACAGGCGCTCAAACGGCAAACATAAATATGGGGAAAAATCCACGAGAGCAGCAACAAAGTAAATGTAAATACGAAAGATGCAAAATGCGAAATGTGGCACAAGTAACTGCAGTGCAAGCCATTGTAATTTGTAATTAGAGGCAGCGCCGCCACTTCAATGTCAGTGCGACAATAATTTCTCAGGCGGCTTATTTGTGCTGGCGAAAAAGCAAAAAGCTAAAGCACAAAGCAAGAAACAAAAGGGGGCGTGGGGGTTTCGAGACCTCCTCCTTTTGTGAAGTCAGCGTGTCGGCATGCCAGCCAAAAATTCATAAACTTAATTGCAACTTTAAAGGCCGGATGATATGCAAAATGTCTGTGTCACAGGTTATTACAATTTTCATATTTTTCGGTGGCTAAAATACAGTTTTATTCATGCTTAAACTTCATTTGGCTAATTTTTTCTAGGGTTAGATTTGTAGATCTCAAAATTGGTCCTTCAAGTTAAGATGTTTAAAATATTTCAATGGAGTTTTCGGTTTAATACACAATATAATTAAATATTCAATAGAATATTTTTGGTCCTTCAAGATTAGATTTTTGAAATATTTTCATGAAGTTTTTGATTTAAAATACAAATTTATTAAGTATTTAATAGGAAATTGAATTTAAATTGTACTTTGTAAAATATTTAGTTTTCTTTTTCCATCTATTTGTTTAAAAATAAATATTTTAAATAGTTTGGAAAAAAATTTCGAAATTTTATATATTTCCAGATGTTTGGCCATTCCAAATATTGGAATAGAATTTTGAGTTGCAGGTTAAATATTTTCATTAACATACAAATCAGTGCTGCCATCACTCAGCTTAAAAAACCGGACAGAAAAGCCAAAAAAAAACAGGGAAAAAGAGGACAAAAAAATTTAAAAAAGGACAAAAAAAGGACAAAAGTAAATGCGCCTCCATTTTTCTGTTTTTACCAATGGGTGATATATTTACTTAATATAAATGGATTTTATATTAAATTCAATTATGTAATGATCTATTGCGCCCGACTCACATCCTTCTTCGTTTGATCATTTTACCATGGTCAATTTTTGTGCGTATACGTAATAATCTAAAATATTAAAATAATAAAAGCATTTCAAGTAACTATATTGGTAATACAAAAAAATTCAATATCTGCGTCAAACCCGAATAAGAGTCGTTCAAATATGAAATTTTTTTCTGACAAAAAGCTGAGAGTAAAAATTGAGAACTTTTTAAAGTGTTTTCCTCTTTTTTTTTTGCTACAGAAAAAATCGTACTATAAAGAAAGTCCATTGACTGCATTACATCTCTTTGATAATTTGTAAAAAGAATTATTTTTAAAGTGCCGAACTGTAAGAATAATGGTTAAAACGGCGTTTTAGCATATAAAAGCAGGTTTATACACTTTTGACTAGCAAAAAGAACACTCAAACCCTTATCTTTGAAAAAAGGACAGATTTCCGGATAGGGGATGTTTGAATTTTTTTCCGGATAAAGTCGTTAAAAAAAGGACAGATCTGTCCGGAAAGAGAACAAAATGGCAGCACTGATACAAATATAAATTTAAAAAATTCTAGGTAAAATCAATAGAAACAATAGTTTATTACCATTAAATACGGTCTTTCCTATCTGTGGAATCAACCATTCCTACACTTTCAAATATTTGCCCTATTATACGTTATATAATATATATATATAATATATATGTATATCAGCTATCGCCAATTGAAATTCCAAATATTTCCAATCGAATGTTTATAAAACTCGCTATATATCTCAGCCATATAAACAAGCCCACAAAAGTTGCAACCAACCAAGAAAAAAAAGAGCTTGACCAATCTGGTAACAAAAAAAACTCCTCCCAAATGTGCAAAATGTTGTTGTCTTTACTACAACTTATGCTACTATTGTTGTTGTTGCAGTTGTTGCTATTGTCAAAAAAGAAAAAAACCAGCAAACAGCGGCGTCATCGTCAGCGAAGCTGGAAAATCGTTGGGATTCCATTCACATTCCAGCATGCAATTCGCATTGGATTATGTGAGCGTGTTGTTGCTGTTTTTATATTTTTATTTTTATTTTTGTTGTTGCTGCCGTGTACTCTTGCCTCTGCCGACGTTGACGGCAACTGCGACGGCGGCAGAATGGAACAGGTGAGGCTCCATTGGCGTTGATCGTGTGCATTCCACAAAGCACACAGATACACATACACACTTGAAAAGCAGAGAGCAGGGCAATAAATACCAATACAGTGGGGCTGTTTTTGCTGTTGTTGTTGTTTGCTTTTTAAAAGTAAATGAACGATAAAACAAGAAAAGGAAGAGAGGGGGTGGAGGGGAGAGGAAGAGGAATGTGGAGAATCAAGGAATACCCTGCAAAAAGGATTATTAATTAAAAATATAAATAAAAAATATAAAACAAAAAAAAAAAAAAATAATTACAAATATTTCTTGTTTTTTAAAAACAAAATTAAAAACTGTAATAGGGTTTTATTTTACTGATAAAATCGAACTTTATATAAAAGCTTTTATTTAATTAAACTATCCCAAATTTCAAATAATCCACTTTTCAAAAATATTTGTTAAATAATTTATGTTTTTCGGGATATGAAATTGTTTTAATTTAATTTTAATTATAGAAATAGAACGTTTAAAAAATAATCCAATTGGTTTTGGCCAATTGATCTTTTTGATTGTGGAGTATAATATACTGGAATACTATGAAAACATTTTTTAAAATTTCAGGAAAAGGGTTAGTCTGTTGTGGGTGTTTGTTGATCAGCAGCCTCTCTCTGAAAAACCCCCCTGGAATTTTCCCCACCCCCTTTTTCGCCACTGTAGGCTGCAATGCAAGTCGAGCGACGTCGACGACGAAAATGCAATTTAGCTCGTTTTTCTTGCTTGCTTCGATTCCCCCACTCGCCGTCCCTGCCCCACCCCCTTTTTACCCCCCTACACATTTGAAACACGCCTCTGCCTGTGTGTGTGTGTGTGTGTAAGAGAGTGGATGAAAAAAGGGAAAACGAAACGAAAACAGAGAGAGCAAAAGCAGAGGAAAAGCAACAAAACAGCAGCCGCCGACCCGCCCCCTTTTTTCCGCCTGCTGCTTCCCCCTTTTTCCGCCTCTTTTCCTCCTCTCTCTGCTTCTTCTTCGTCTTTGCCGCTGTGGAATGCGCATTTTTGCAATAATAATCAGCAACTAATACTATTTTTATCTTCTGCCCTGACGCGTCGCACACTTCTTTGCCTGTCCGTGTGTGTGAGAGTGTACATGAGTGTTTGCCCCCTGCAGCGTGTTTCTCTCTCTCGCCGCCCCTGTGGCCCCCTTCTCGCCATCTCTTCTTCTCTCGATTGATCTCTTTTGGAGGCCCCGTAATTTCCTCGGGATTTTCTGGAGATCTGTGATCTTTTTTAAAGAAAATCAGATTTCTGATAAATTGGTAAAAATATTAGTATATTTTTAATATTTAAAACTTTTTAATCAAAAAAGAAAGTATTCCGAAAATATGTTAGATTCTTCTATTTTCCAACCTAGTATTATAATTATCTGCCTTGACAACGTAATAAAAAATACTTTAGATAGTTATTCCCTAAGGTAGATACAACTTCAAATAAACCCTTGCTTAGACAGTGTAATTCTCAGGCGATTAAACACCTCCTTTCCAAGTGTCAAAATAAACACAATCTTGAAAAAATAAATAATAAATCCTAGTTTGCGAAAGTGATTAGAGATAGTATCTGAGAATATCGCGTTACACAACCATAAAAATTCTTACGACTTGAATTAGAATTGTCCCTTTACTTAAGGTATTTTGTTTAATTTTGTTAGATTTTTTCAATGCCTCAATTAAAGCTAAATGCGAAATTCTGCCCAAGCGAAAATGAGAAATAAAATCCATTTAGATATAAAGCGGCACTCGCTCTTTTATGTGGAGGCACAACTTTGGACGCAATTAAACAATTAAAAATTCCAATAGCGTGGCCGCTTAATAACGCATCAAAATCAAAATATTCCTGCCGAGTGGGAGTGAGATGGCAATGTAGGGAAAGAGATGGAGGATCGCAAGTGAATTAGTTATTTGGATTGTTAATTAGTTATTGAATACACAGTACACACACTCGATTGTTTATTTGCGCAAAAATACTGGGCGGTATGCGTGGAATGCGAAAATTTCCCAACTTGGCACCAAAACAAAAATACATATATATATGTAGATAGTTATATATCCACCAGGGCCGATCTCTGTTGACATTCGGATTTGGCGCGTGGGGCTGCGAGACGTTTACCCACCCAAGATCTATATGTTCCCCCGGCTTGTTATCATCTATGTCTCGTGTACACAACCCCGGCAAAATTCACATTCCTTGGCAAAAAGCTAATAGAATAGAATTAAAGTAAAGAAAACAACAACTTTTGTCAACAGAATAATTAAAACTCATATTTTTCTCTGCTTTTATGTTCGAGTGAATTTACAGGGCAATCAAAATGTTGTTTGCAGATCAAGGCACCGAGAGTCAGTCGTGTTTGAATGTTGACAGATGCCTATGGTTCATTATCTCTAGATATATATGCATACATATGTGAGTGCGGCGCGGAATGTCAACTATTTAGTGTGCCAACTTTATGGCAAAATTGCGAAATTGGTTATTAATGGAGCCATTAATATGGAAGCAATGTTATTCTAGAGGCCAGACAATTTGTAAAATATTTGAAGGGATCTTGAAAACTTGTATATGATGTATCTAGGGCTCTGAACATGTATTATTCATCACAATATAATTCCATTAGCATTATAAACAAACAAATAAGAAAACACTTGGAATAGGAGTCGATTTACTATATCAAATAAATCCCATATGAACAGTTGGTTTTACTACGAGTCACCCACAGAAAAAATATAGGATATCTGTATTCATTAAATCAAAAACTTTTTTTGATTTTAGAAATTTAGCGGTTTCTGTTATAAAAAGAATATGAATCTTTATAAAAAACTACACAGAAACCACACAATTCGATTTTCTACTTTATTTTATATCAATAAAAAGCCGATATGATTAATGTGAAATTTATGATTCAAACAGATCAACTTGATATTTTATCATTTCATATTGATAATTTATCAAATCAATCCTGTTTTAAAATACCCAATTTAGTTTTTTTTTTCGATTGACAATTATTGTAAATTAACATAAATATACTCTATAAAAAATATTAAATAAACGTGTACATATCAATTTGATCTTGTGTTAATTTCTGCAGGGTATTAACCGCTTCGATCACTAGATCTCTACCCCTTCTTCGTTGCGTTTCCTTCCTCATTTGCACTTGGCACAAATTCGGCGAAATTCCGTGTTTGTTTACATATCTATCTGTCGATGGCTATTTCATAGTCAGGTGCGCACGCCACGCCCTCCGCCCCCCGACTCCCCTCTATATAGTGTGAACTTAATGGTTCGTCATAAAAATGGGTTTGTATTTGCGTTGCCGTTGCCTTTTTGGTGTGGGGGATTTTTTTTACATTTTCCCAGAATTCGAAACATGACATAAGAGCATAATTTATGAACACCCCTGCCACCTGAATTTCTTACTGTTTTCTTTTTTCTTTGCCCTCGATCAGTTGCAACTTGGTGGCGAACCCGAAAATCACTGGCAAAAGGCGTGAAAATCATGCAAAAGAAAAAAGCACTTCCTCCACAAGTTGCGATGGTCATTACGAACAATGAGTGTGGATTTTCCGGGAGCTCTTTAAGACCCCCCTTATTCAGTGACTCACGTCTCTGGCATTCAAATGGGCCGACAAACCCATCAACAGGGCCAAGATAGTGCTGAGTATTTGGACTTTTTTGGCTGACGAAATAGCTGTAGTTTTATAGAGAGTCACTAATGGAATGGATTGAAATGAATATCGTACAAAAAATTTAAAAGAATCTATCAATTTCAATTTAATACTATTTAAGAATTCGCGCATCTACCTATGCAACTACACCTTAAAAAAAAATGATATGAAACGATGATCGATTTTAAGTTTTGTGGTATCGATTTTAACTTGATATGCTCGAAAACGTAAAATCGATATTTAGGTAATATCAATTTTACATTAAAAAGGTATATCTTTTTTAAAATGCTTGATTTGATCTTACATTATTTAATATCAATTTTAGCAGTATTTCATGGTTAAAACGATTTATTTTGGGTTCCTCGTAAATGTTTACTAATGATAGATATGTTGCTATTGCTCTTATTTTTTCCTAGTAAATACTTGAAACCACTCTAATTAAGTTCATTCTGTCTGAGCCTAAAAACTTCTGTGTGGGTTTTTTTTAATGAATGGGTCACTTTGAAACCTTGTTTCGCATATAGCGTGTGACAATGTTCGTTTGATAAATTTTCTCATCCAATTCCCTCCGTCTTTTTTTTTCGTCTATTTTCAGCTCCAAGTTGGCCGCCATCGATTCGTGCGTAGGATCAATTAAAATTCCGTGAGGCCGAGGAATCAAATCAAATTAAAAATCAACTAATATTTTGATATTCAAATATTCAAATGAAATTCATTCATCGCCTGGGACTTTTATTCGGATCTGCCAACTATTTTCGAATTTGAATTGTGTCTGTGCTGCGGTTTAGCGCAGAATCTGTGATAAAGCAGAAATGTACAAAGAATACGAAAGATCAGAAATCGGAAAAAAAATTCAAAATACAAATAAAATGTGAGGCGGAGAAATATTTACATGCAAAATGTTGAGAGAAGTTTTTTGTTATAATGCAAATGTGAAGTGGAAGAATTCCCGGCAGCCCGACGCGAGTGATAAATAATCCGACGACAAACAAAAGAGCAGAAGCCTACACGGCGAGAAAGAGCAGAGTGCAAACACATTTATCTTTATTGAGAGCAACAATATCAAGATCGAGATAATAAAGCATCGTAAACCTTCGCATGCCTTCGCGCGACTAAGTAGTTCATTATAAAGTCTCGCCACAAATAATCAAATGCAAAAAAGTGCCTTCCCAGCCGAGGAAATTCAACAAAGCAAAAGCTGAAGCTACAGCAAAGGCAAAAGCAAACAAATCACAAATCGAGTGGTATAATCTATGTATTTACGTGTATTTTATACAAAACATCCAATTAAATAATAAAAACAAGAGAGCAGCCAACAAAGCCGCTGAAATATTTATTTAATTTAAATCTCTGGCCGCCGATGTGCCCCAGTGTGTGTGTGCTGTGTAAGTGTGTGCGTGTCGAGCATTTTTTGTGATATGAGTGCTAAATATCACAGGGCGAAGAAGCAGCATTATGCATCCAGCGGGCGAAAAAAGGGGCGGTCGCCCCAATGATAAATACACAGCGGAAGCCCTCGAGAGCATCAAGCAGGACCTAACCCGATTCGAAGTACAAAATAACCATAGGAATAATCAGGTGAGGATATTAAAATATTATTACTAAGATAAGGTAAATCTCATTTTTAAGTTGAAATTATAAATTTCTTTGAATTCTTCTCGGTTAACTAACTGCGAATTCTTCACAAATTTTTTCAGAGGTAAATATAACTTTATTAACATATTTCTCAGAAAATTCTTCAGCATTTTTGAAACTGCAGCGTATACTACTAGAAACACTCCGATATTCTTCTGTTCATAGATATCCTACAAATAGGAATATAAAAACAAATGTGGTATAAATTTGCATGGATTTGTTAGTTCGCGTTTTGAATCAGATCGTAGATTTTATCAAATGATGAATGGGTTGATTTAAGAAAATCTTCATTCAGCAAAAAAAGTATTTCATATGGTAAACAGAAAACGAGATATGCAAACTTAGATCAAAGATAGACGATTACTGAGGTTATAACATATTTATGAAGTTTTTTAAGAATTCAGAGGGGAAGTAGGTAAATATTTGCTTTAAGTGATAATAGTCAGAATAGACATATTATTTGTTTTAAAATAACAGAAAACCCTATCTATCCCAGCTTTTCTTTGTTTTCACCCAAAATACGTAGAACTAATCATGGATTGAGGAATTTCCACCGCTGACTCACTTAAAATGGTTAATTCAAGCCAAAGAACAGGCTTAAGGAATTTAAATAAACCGTTTAGCTCCATGCCACTCAACATATCTTAGTTAAGCTCGGTTTAGCCCCGTCTCATTCCACTTAAGAACGTCTTAGCTCACGCGTGGAAGTTATGCCATTAAAAACGCTTATCACTGGTTTTTATAGTCGGTCGACAAATGATGCGACAACCAAGACACAAAAGGAGGAGACACGACAACTAATAAAAAAGCTAACAGCCAGATAAAATGCAAGCCACAAAAGCTCTAACATTGAAAAAGAGATATATTTTCTAAAGCGTGGGTGATTTTTGAGGTGAGACTGGGAAAGCGCTGCTAACTAGTAAATGCTCTTGATTTTATGCTTTTTATTGGGTTATCTTTAAGTGTTTGTTGGTTATAAAACTGAATTTATGTCAACATATATTACTTGGATATTCATTCAGTCAAACTTTCATATTTTTACAGAGAATTAATTAAGTTAAAATTTAAGTTTCGTCCTCAAATCTAAAATTCATTTTATTTTCATTATTTAATTGTCAAGAAATTTTATAAAATACATAAATGACATAGTTTAGCCTAAAACTAAAGATCTCATCTGCTCAGAATAACGTAGGTTTTTTTTTAGAAACTGGCACGAGCCGCATATTTTTCACCTGCGCACGCGATTTTCAACAAGGTCAGTGGGTGGGTGGCTGGTTGGATGGTCAGTTGTGGCAGCAACAGCAACAGGAGTTGGCAATTAGCTTTGGTCAAAAGGAAAATAACTAGACGAGCTATTTATAAACCAAAACACAGTGACAGGGGAAGGGGGATACAAAATTAATGAACTGGCAAGCAAAATGCAATTGACCTTCTGCCTTCCGAGTGGGTGGATGGGTGGCGACGCGCTGGCAGACAAAGTGACCAGCGGAAGAGGGACAGAAGATCAGCTACACAGAAAGAAAAAAACCAATTAAGCAATTATATTTGCGCTGGAAAAAAAATAAAAACATCGGATGGTTAAAAATATCTAAATAATAGAAGTTCTGCAACATAATTCAACAATTAGAAAAATAATAGGATGATCTGAAATAAAATAATAAGTAAGAAATATTAAAAACGATTACTTTGCGAGTAATTTATTACTTTCATATTATGTTTTGACTATAATATATACAAATCATCAAATGGATCATCATATTGTGTAATATAGTTTTTTCCTGTGTAGGGAGATCAAAATGAGAGCACACACACGAGACGATCTTTAAAGCTCTGAAGTGTGCGTACACGCGATCGCCCTGGATTCTTGGCATTGACGTCACACTCTGAACTCAACCGATCAGATCGGAATATATACGCTTGTATATTCCAACCCAATTGATGAGTGGGTTGCTATTGATTTCAATGAATGCCGAAAATTCCCCAAAAAATTTGGGCGAAAAAGGGGGGGCAATGACTAATGGTCGAGTTGGTCTTGCACGATCGGTTAAAGATTTCAGCACCAACTCTGTGCAATTAGCCAAGCAACGGGCAATAATCATTTATTAACTGGTTGCTCGCTCTCCACAATCAGAAATCTGAAATCAGGAGTTAGATACAGTGCGTAACAAGTGTGTAAGGAGGGTATACTTGAAACCTAAACTACTGTAAATATTCAGAAAAACAAATTTTATTTCATATCAATATAATAAGGAGCCGATATGATTAATGTCAAAGTTATGATTCAAGCTTATCAACTTGATATTTCATCATTTCATAAAAGTTATATTTTAGTTTTTGAACAAATTTTGTAATAACTTGATCTTTAAAATGTATTAAATTAACCTGCACATATAAATCTGATCTTGTGTCAATTTTTTATCTGTGTAGTTTAAATTCAATAATTTTTCATAATATTAAAATATTATAAGTTATCTCATAATATTTAAATATTTTTTTTATATCATCTTTCTATTTCAATTACCATTTCCCCAAAACTGAAAACTACTTCATAATAACACCTTTCCTATTATATTAAAAAAGTAATAACGCTCCAAAGAATTGCTCACTAAAATGACTTATTTATGGCTATTTATATGATCTTTGAAAGTATGAATCTTTTCAATAATTCACCAGCACATCCCATAACTGGATATTTTTGATGACTAAGCCATTTCGATGACTGCTCTCCTGTCAGCATTCCATTTTTAAGCCACTATTAAATATTTCAATCGTTTGCAGTGCCTAAAGTTCTGAAACGGGCTTTAAAAAAAAGAAATAAATGCCCATGAGCTGGTGTGCAGAAAGGAGTTTTGCAGAGGGGGCAGGACATAAAAATTCTTAAATATTATCTGACGGGTCATCAATTTAAAGTTTTACGATCTCCACTTGCCAGCTACTGTTTGCTGCGACTGTAAATTATGTTTCGGGCTCTTTGGATTCGCATTCGGATGAGGATTCGGAGAGAAATTCCAGAGTCTTCGGGTGAGCAGAAGCAGAAGGGGGAAGATTTCTCTTAATCCAGCCGATGGGCGTGCTCAGGTTTTTGGCCATAAAATATATGCTTTGCTGTTGGCTAATTGTTATGACTGCGGCCAGTTTGGACAGGCCAATTTAATGCTGCAATTGCTGTGCCATTGGCATTGGCTTTTGGTCGTCGGGCTTTTCGGTTTTGGCCAACTTTCGCCTGCCGCCTGACTTTTCGGCCTACGCCTTTTCTTAAACACTGGAGCACAATGGCCCGGCTAATTGGTCATGCTGAGCGCTAAATACCAGAAACCCATAATCTCCTCATATATGGCTCATATGTTTGGAATACTCCATTGCGAGGGGGTTTTTTTAAGTCCATATGTGGGCAGTGCATGTCAGAGCGATAAACGATAGACGATAAATAAGTTCAAAATTTATGCACAGCCCGATCAACACTTTCAGCGACCATGTTCACGCCTACACAAACGAATTTTACATTTAAAAGAAGATACCAATCGCTTTGATACCTCTTAAAAAGTAATTAACGCTTTTTTCCTTTTAAATATAATAATAAAACTTGCAATAATGTTCAAATAACGTTAACGCTACGCTTAACATTAAAATTTAAATTGTAATACAATAATGTCTCGATATTTCGATAGTTTTGGGTGTCCAGTAGGGCGGTCCACATTTGTATGGAAATTTTTAAGGTCCTACTCTCACCCGCCTATACGGTGCTCATTGTGGTATTTAAAGTATACCAAATGAAAATTTTGGAAAAAATCGTGTTTTAGGGTCTGCGATTTGGCTTCAAAGTTTATCACCCATACGCCCTGTTGCCTTCGATCAAAAAGTTTTTCTAATCAAGGTGGCATAGATTTCAACAATTTAGTTGATGTTTTGCTCTCCTTTTTTTACCAATTATTCCACCGAAATTCATAATTTGACAAGACATGAAATGGTAGAACGATTTTTTTCGACCGAATTTGAGCTGTTATACGTGTCGTATGAGTAATTTTTAAGCAAACTTTGAGAACGTTTCGCAAGGTCTAAATCACGAAAAAAGAATTTTGTATTTTTACATACATTTTTTGCCTACTTTAATATACCATGTGAGGGGGTGACAATATAATTTAATTTTTTGGACCGCCCTAGTGTCCACATTCTTTTTAAATGTTTTATTATAATATTTTTTTCGAATCTTAAAAAATTGTAAAAACAGTTTAGAAGACCTTAAGGTAATATGTGGCCAAAAACTCCAGAAATATGGATTAGTAATAAGTACCTCAAAGTCCATTGTATAATTTAAAAACTTTTCTTTAGCGACATTTTAGCCGGTTAGCTACCAACAAAACGCCTCTTGAAATTCATATTGCTCCCGCTATAAATATCCATATCAATAATGGTTGGGCCACGAGTATGCTAAAGAAATTAATTAAAATAACAAACGCTGATAATAAATAAAAATCCAAAAGGTAAAAAGGCGGCAAATAAACAAGACGCCAACGCATTTAACAGTGAGCCAAATGCCATTACAATAAAAATTAAAATAATCCATAAATAATTTAGTAAACAAAACGAAGCAATCGATTTGTGGAAAGGGAGGTCCAAACTTTGACAATACCAATTCAGGGTCTATCCCATCCATATGAAATCTGACATATTTGGTGTTGTTATGGCCCCGCGTACACATGTAATCCCAATTTTAGTTTTGGTGCGAATTTGGCTATTTATAAAGAGTGTGGGCACAGTGAGTGCAAAAAATGTGCGTTAAATGAAGATGTCTTGGAAATGGTATTCCCAATAAAATGATCTCGAATTCAATTGTATTAATTTTCGTATCGATTTCAATAATTCTAAGAAATAAATTATTTAAAAATATATTAGGCTCAATTTTTTGTATCGACTTTTTCATTAATTCTAATTTTTTTTTCAAATTTACCAAAGATATAAACCAATTTAAATGTAAAGTACTTATGGGCGCTTCCAATTGAAATGTAATTTTTGTAAATATTGCAGGGCATTAAAATACTTTTCTCTGTCACTGTTGTCTGCAAACATTTTTATGGGGGACACATTTCATTTCGAGCGAAATGGAATTCCTCGGGGTGCAATTTTCAACTAATTTGCCTGATTTTCGTGCGAAAAATTTGTTGAACCTGTCGGTGGGTCGTCGCTTTCGCCCGATTTTCTTTATTCTTTCGCTCAGTGCTTTAGCTATTTTTCTCAGGAATTTTCACCTAAATATATGCATGGAAGTGTGTGTGTCTTTATCGTATATAGTACAGACATATCCAATATACATCAGCAGAAGCAATCGCCCAAAAAAAGAATGTGTGTTGCCGCTAATAATAACAAAAGACAAACAGACACACGCATAGCCGCCAAGTACAAACACAAACAAAAATCGGCGTGCGGCAGAATGTTTGGCTATATCTCAAAAACACGGAATAGATCGTTGGAAAACGTAACATTTTAAACCTACAACATTAGTAGTTTTTAATAATATACTTTTGTAAATTAATATTTTAAATTAATTTGCTTTTTTCATCATAGCTAGTCTTCCCTATACTTACATTTTTACACAAATATTTTAACGTTGCCAAGAATTTCTAATTTTGATGTATTTAGTTGGCTTTTGGCTCATTGCGATTCTTGAGACACGCCAAGAATTCTCGGTTTTCCCCTTTCCCAACTTTATACTATGTATAGATTAATATAGTTTGATCCCAGGTAATATAATGTGTCAAGTTCAAGGGTATAAGGGCAGTGGATATGATAATATAGTCCTTTAAAAAAATGTGACCCCGACTTGCACTTTTGGAACCAGAACTAGCACACTTCTCTAAATAAATTTTATAGTGATGTAGTCCTGAAAAGTTGTGACATCGGTATCTATAAATTTGCAAACAAGTTTTAGTTTTTAGATTAACAATTTTTAAAAATTACTTAGATAGCTGGTGACCCAAATCTGTATTATTTGTCCTGTAATTCATATCGTATTGATAAATAATTCTTTTTTTGAAACCAATATGTTTTCTCCAGTTCTGGCATACATTTCTGTTCTTTCGTAATCCAAAAATTCTTTTGACCTTGCCATCTTAATCGCTTTGCAAATTGCATTGACGACCGCAAAGCAAAGGAGCTTAAGTGGATTAGCGAAAGTGTTTCGGCAATTCTACGTTTCTTATTCCCCTTCACCCTTAAGTCACCCGGTAAATCCAATTTATTTTATTTCAAAAAATTTAGCAATGCCAATTTGCGTGGGCGACAGTTTTTTTGTTGGTCTTCTTGTTGCACTTGCTGATTTAGTGAGCCCATTGGCTTTCGCTAATTTGCCGTAAATTGGCTTTCATGTAAGAAGACTGCCAAGAGGAATGGGGACTCGGGATTCGGGGGTCTTGAAGACCAACCCCCCCAAAGAGCGACGCACAGTCTGCTGGGGGTCTTTGTCGGGTTTCGCTTGGTTCGCGTCCTTGGTTTTAATTTGATTCCCATTAAAATCGCGACATATAGAATGGGCGAAATTCCCCGAATAAAATTAGACCAATTTAGCATCATAAAAAGAAAATATATACAATCACAATATTCATTAAGCTGCACAATCCACCAAAAATCATAACCAAAATGTTGTAAAAATATATTATTGAAAAAAGTGTTGTGTATAAAGTTAAAATCACTTTAGTAATTTCTTTCCAAACCGGTTCCAGTTTTTGTATTTTACACGTCTTGTTATCTTATTATGCGTCAATGTTATAATTTATTTTAATTGCAATAAGGTACAAGTTTAATGTTCTGGTGATTATTTATTAATGTAAAATGTCCTAATTGAAATTAATTATGAAATAAAGATAAGTATATCAGAATGTCATGATTTTGATTGCTTTTGATCTATTTAAAATATAAATTATTTAGATCATAAAGAATTCGCGTTCGTATATCGTACATCGCATAAAAATTCCCATCACGTTGCCATCTCTAAAAGAAAGAGAGCAAAGAGAGTGGGGCATTCAAAGTCATAAAATCGAGGATCAGTCACAAAAGGGCAAAAGATTGTTGGTGAGAGGGGGAAGGGGGTGGAGAGGAGGAATGGTATCAAAAGAACGCGTAAAACGAGTAGCTGACAAGAAGAGAGAAAGAGAGCCACAAAGAACAAACAAATGAGTGGGAGCGAGATGGGAGCAAGGGCAACCTTCAATGCAAGTGTATTTGTTCTTGTGTTTTGGAGCGCATCTGGCAGCCGGCTCTTCTTCTTCCTGCTCCCCATTCTTCTCCCCACCCTCTCTTGCGATCGCCCTATCTCGCTCGCTCTCCCTGCCTGCGCCTGACTTTTAGGAATTTCACGACGATGGGAAGAATTTGATTTCGTTGCTTTGGTCGCCTCATTTCTTAGGTCTTTTGTTTTAGCCTTCGATTCGCTTGTTGTGGCTCATTGTTTTTGTTTTTTGTATTTTGTATGCTCGTCTTTTGTTTAGTTTTTGATACTTTTTTCAGTGCAGGAATGTCGATTGGACATGGGCGTAGGAAAAAGGATTTAGAGGGGGGTTTAGATGATTAATAATGGAAACATGGGTTCTGTTTAATATAGGATACGAGTGAATCATATCAAAAATATTCTTATTTTTATCATCATTATTATATGGAAACATCATCATATAAAAAATATTCTTATCAAATCATTTAAAATAATTCAATTAATATCATTTGCAGTTGTTGTACATATTTCAAAATGTAAAAAAAGCGTGTAATTCAAAAAGATTATTATTCCATAAAATTTTTTTATTTTTGTTTAACAAAACTACTCTCACGACATGGATTACACAGTAACTTTAAGGGTCCTAAAAAATTAATAATAACTAATTTTTTATATTAATCTATAAAAATTATTAGATCATATTATATGTATATATGATTTATTAGTGATTTAAAGTCTAGTAATTCTGTCGCAAGTATTCAGCTTTTCTAACCTTAATTCTAATCTACCGATTTAACTAATCCTTCGTTTTATTTCTTCCAGAATTACACACCTCTGCGATATACGGCGGCCAACGGACGCAACGATGCACTTACTCCGGACTATCACCACGCCAAGCCGCCGATGGAGCCGCCGCCCTCGGCCTCTCCCTCGCCGGACGTGGTCATCCCGCCGCCGCCCGCCATCGTAGGAGGTCAACCGCTCGTCGGCCAGGGTTCCATATCCGTATCGGGAGTATCTTCCATGGGCGTGGTGGCCAATGGGCGTGGGACCAAGATGATGACCACGTTGATGCCGAACAAACTGATTCGGAAACCCAGCATCGAAAGGGACACGGCGAGCAGTCACTACTTGCGATGCAGTCCCGCCTTGGATTCCGGGGCAGGAAGTTCGCGATCCGACAGCCCCCATTCGCACCACACCCACCAGCCGAGCGTGAGGACGGTGGGGAATCCGGGAGGAGGTGGTGGTGGATTCTCCCCCTCGCCAAGTGGCTTCAGTGAGGTTGCTCCACCGGCGCCACCGCCACGGAATCCCACCAGCGCCTCCAGTGCGGCCACGCCCCCGCCGGTGCCGGTGCCGCCCACCAGCCAGGCGTACGTGAAGCGTCGATCGCCGGGCCTGAACAACCGCCCGCCGGCGATAGCTCCACCCACTAGCAGCCAGCGGGGCAACTCACCTGTAATCACCAATCAGAATGGGATGAAGAACTCGCAGCAGCAACAGTTGACGCAGCAGCTCAAGTCACTGAATTTGTATCCTGGCGGGGGAAGCGGTTCAGTGGTGGTGGAGCCACCACCGCCTTACTTAGGAGGAGGAGGAGGAGCACCACCGCCACCACCACCCAGTTATACCGCCTCCATGCAATCGCGGCAATCGCCCACGCAATCCCAGCAGTCGGACTATAGGAAATCCCCGAGCAGCGGGATCTACTCGGCCACCTCGGCGGGATCACCGAGTCCCATTACGGTCTCCCTGCCGCCGGCGCCACTGGCGAAGCCCCAGCCACGGGTTTATCAAGCCCGGAGTCAGCAGCCCATCATCATGCAGAGTGTGAAGAGCACGCAGGTCCAGAAGCCAGTGCTCCAAACGGCCGTGGCTCCGCAATCTCCCTCGAGTGCCTCGGCGAGCAATTCGCCGGTTCATGTGCTAACCGCACCACCGTCGTATCCACAGAAATCCGCAGCAGTGGTGCAGCAGCAACAGCAGGCGGCAGCGCAGCAGCAGCATCAGCAGCAGCAACATCAGCAATCCAAACCACCCACGCCCACGACACCTCCTTTGGTGGGTCTAAATAGCAAGGCCACTGGAGTCTGCCTGGAGCCACCTTCCTATGCCAAGAGCATGCAGGCCAAGGCGGCCACGATGGTGCCACAGCAGCAGGTACAACAGGTGCAGCAGCAACAGCAGCAACACCACCAGCAGCAGCAGCAACTTCAGGCCTTAAGAGTCCTCCAAGCTCAGGCTCAAAGGGAACGCGATCAGAGGGAGCGAGAACGGGATCAGCAGAAGCTAACCAATGGCAATCCCAGCAGGCAGTTGCCGCCACCACCCCCTTATCAAAGTAACAACAACAGTAGCGATATGAAGCCACCCAGCAGCTGCAACAACAACAACATACAGATAAGCAACAGCAATTTGGCCACCACACCGCCCATACCGCCCGCTAAATACAATAATAATACAGGGGCCAATAGTTCCGGTGGCAGCAATGGATCCACCAGCACCACTGCCTCCTCATCGACGGCGGCGACGTCGGCGTCCTCCTGCAAGAAGATCAAGCATGCCTCGCCCATCCCCGAACGCAAGAAGATCTCCAAGGAGAAGGAGGAGGAGCGCAAGGAGTTCCGCATCCGGCAGTATTCCCCGCAAGCCTTCAAGTTCTTCATGGAGCAGCATATCGAGAATGTGATCAAGTCCTATCGCCAGCGAACGTATCGCAAAAATCAGCTGGAGAAGGAAATGCTCAAGGTGGGGCTGCCGGATCAAACGCAAATTGAGATGAGGAAAATGCTGAACCAAAAGGAGAGCAACTACATTCGGCTAAAGCGCGCCAAAATGGACAAGAGCATGTTTATGAAACTGAAACCGATTGGAGTGGGTGCCTTTGGTGAGGTGACGCTGGTGCGCAAGATCGACACCTCCAATCATTTGTATGCGATGAAAACCCTGCGAAAAGCCGATGTCCTGAAGCGGAATCAAGTGGCCCATGTGAAGGCCGAAAGGGATATCCTGGCGGAAGCCGATAACAATTGGGTCGTCAAGTTGTACTACAGTTTTCAGGACAAGGACAATCTGTACTTTGTGATGGACTACATACCAGGTGAGAGGGATTTGTTTACTTGTCACATATGGAAAGACTAACCGAGTTATGTGCTCTCCACAGGGGGCGATCTGATGTCGCTGCTCATTAAACTGGGCATTTTCGAGGAGGAACTGGCCAGATTCTACATCGCCGAGGTCACCTGCGCCGTGGACAGCGTCCACAAAATGGGCTTCATTCATAGGTAAAAGAGAAATTTAAAAATAGCTTAAAATGTCAATATAAAATGTAAAATGTCCATTTGATATTCTAATGGTACTAAAAAATGTTAATTTGACATTAAAAAGATGAAGCAATATAAACGATAATAACACATTTGTTACATTTAATATTTTAATTTTTTTTTAGCTAAATGAAAACGCAACTTCTTTAGACCACTAAAAAAAATAATCAATATCAATTTGATATTAGTATGCATTCTTATAATATCAATTCATAATACTAAAAAAGTTAATGTGACTTTAAAAAGGTGAAGCAATATGGGATATAATAACACATATGTTGCATTTAATATTTTAATTTTTTTTATCGAAATGATAACGCAAATTCTTTAGACAACAAAAAGTTAATATTCACTTATTTAGCAATATTAAATTAATAATTGTAAGATCGATTTTTTATAAGAGTAATATCAAATTTATATTTAAACCTATAAACTAATTGCTGGTTAATATACCGACCAGACTTAGAAATATATAAATGGTATAGAGTTTAAATATCAAAATGTCTTACTCCAAAATGTTCCTTAATATACATAAATAGTATAGAGTTTAAATATTAGAATGCCTTACTCAAATGATTCTTATACTTGTAGTACACATAATTCATTTATTTTTTATCCTCCTACAGAGACATCAAGCCTGACAACATACTCATCGACAGAGACGGACACATAAAGCTCACCGATTTTGGCCTGTGCACGGGATTCCGATGGACGCACAACTCAAAGTACTACCAGGAGAATGGTGAGGATCGTTGGGTTAATATGAATACGAATAAAATCTTCTAATAATATTATTCAAATTCGAATAGGCAATCACTCGCGTCAGGACTCGATGGAACCCTGGGAGGAATACTCGGAGAACGGACCCAAGCCCACTGTGCTGGAGAGGTGAGTTTCGTACACTTAATTAATATGGAAAGCCATTAATAAAAGTATGCCGAACTCGCAGGCGACGGATGCGCGATCACCAAAGAGTCCTAGCCCACTCGCTGGTGGGCACACCGAACTACATAGCTCCCGAGGTTCTGGAGAGGAGTGGCTATACGCAGCTGTGTGATTACTGGAGCGTGGGCGTCATTCTCTACGAGATGCTGGTGGGTCAGCCGCCCTTCCTGGCCAACAGTCCGCTGGAAACGCAACAAAAGGTGTGATATCAATTACTATACTACTGATAAAAAGAAATTGACAAGAGATCAGTTTGATATGTACTGGTTAAATTGATATTTTTTAAAGATCAAGTTATTCATATCATTTTGATATGAATAAAGATTATGTTTGTCTTATTTTACATTATTTGCTCAAGAAATACTTCATTTAAAATTTTATATGATATGATATAATATCATTTTGATATGTTTATGGCTTTTATTTGACATGAATTCAGATTGATATGTGCTGGTAAATTTGATATTTTTTAAAGATCAAGTTATGGATATCATTTTAATATTAATAAAGATTAAATTTGTTCACAAAATACTTCACTTGGTATTTTATATGATACGATATAATATTATTTTGATATGTTAGAATTCTTTTTCTGTTTACTATATAATTCAAAAAAAATAATAATATTCTTATATTTTAGGTCATCAACTGGGAAAAAACGCTGCATATACCGCCACAGGCCGAGTTATCGCGGGATGCCACGGATTTGATAAGGAGACTCTGCGCGGCGGCCGACAAGCGGCTGGGTAAAAGCGTGGACGAGGTCAAGGGTCACGACTTCTTCAAGGGCATCGACTTTGCGGACATGCGCAAGCAGAAGGCGCCCTACATACCGGAAATCAAACATCCAACGGACACTTCCAACTTTGATCCCGTCGATCCGGAGAAGCTGCGCTCGAACGACTCCAACATGAGCAGCGGCGATGATATCGATCTGAATGACAGGCCCTTCCATGGATTTTTCGAATTTACCTTTAGACGATTCTTCGACGACAAACAGCCGCCGGATATGACGGATGATCAGGCGCCGGTTTACGTCTGAGCCCCAACATCCCACCCCCAAAATCATTGTTAGTCAAATAGTCACAAAAAAGAGGGGAGAGAAATTATCATCGAGTGGGTTTTTGGTTTTTGTAAAGAATTCGCGTGACTATAGAATGAAACTATATATATTATATAAATTATAGGAGAAAGTAGCGAAGGAAACTGCGCATATACATACAAATATATATATATATACATATATGCCCGAGGGCATGAACTGAATAAATTTAAAACGGAACAGAATAGAGATGAAAGAAAATGGGAAGAGCGAGTCAGGACCTTGGACTTTTAAATTGAATATATAGTATATCCTTCTACCTTACACCATAACTATTTAAATTGTTAGGGAAACAAAGAGGGACCAACTGGAAAATTGAACATTTCTGGTGCTCAAAGCAAAAGAAAACGCCTTAAAAACGAGACGAGATCGCGAATTTACCCAATCCCTCCTCTCCATTTTTCCGCCTCCAATCCGATGGCCGGATTTCAATTCAGCAGGCTGGTTAAATGCCGGCCATCCCACAACGTTCCATTCGGAATTTGAGATTGAGAGGTGCGCGATGGAGAAACGGAGACCAAAAGTCGCACGGCAGCGATATAAGCGGGTCTTATAAGCCTAATCTAAATCTAACCTAGAGGAACTGGACCAAAATCTCTGTGTCCTTCTACCCAATCCATCTATCACTGCTCTTTAAATGTGACCTCCCCAACCCCCCCAAAAAAAAGAACAAATCTTAGACCTAACCTATGTGAAAATATCTAGCAATGTTAGACCAACTTGTTGAATGCCAAATCAAATTGTTTAGCCCACACACACATAAGAAATGTGAGGAAATTCAACACTTATTCTCTGATAGCAAACGGAAAACACAGAAAAACGATATATGAGGAGAGCTAAGGAAATTGTAATCTTTTTAATGTAATTTTGTAAAGAAGAACGTTAATTGTAATCTAAGCTAAAGTTGTGTAGCGCCCTAAGATGTTTTTTAGTTTATAGACCGCTAACCGTAATCTAGTTTAATTCCTAACATTTAAGCGAGAGTACATCAATTCTTTGTTTGTCGTAGGTTCGTTGGAAAGAGCTTAACGGGAAACGATTTGTTTTTCTATTTAATTAGCTGCAGTTTGTATGTGCGTGTGTTTTTATTATGAATATATATATATATATATCGAGCTAAATATATATAAATTGAACCTATTTTAAATGTGAGAAGAGATCGAGCTAATTGAAAGAACTACAAACCAACTCTGTGTGCCTTGGCCAATTAGTTTACTAAAGCAAATTAATAAATGGAAAAGAAAATTTATACAAAAAACCGTTTAAAATGTATTCTTTATTGGGATATTTTGTAATTTATCACTTTAGCGAATATATTATTTATATAATTATTTAATCTTCTCAGACTTTTTTTCCATTTTTATACCCGTTACTCGGAGAGTAAAAGAGTATACAGCTAGAAGGAAGCGTTTCCGACCCCATAAAGTATATATATTCTTGTACTTTGAAATTAACCAATTTTGTATTCAAAATTTATCAAACTAAAAAGGGTAATTCTGTGAGCTAAATTGAATATATATTATACGATCGAAAATATCTCATGCTTCGTCGTATAAAATTATAATAAAACCCTCTAAAAGGGTATAAAAGCTTGTTGAGATTATCAAAATGTTCATTCCACAAAATATACGTTTATTTGTGAACTGCCGCATTGCGATAAGCGGCCACGAAACATTGGTAATAAAAAATCCAGAGCTCATGGGTTGTAATCTGCCCCTGATCTTAAATACTTGGTATTTGTAACCCACTATAAAGTACACGTGTACAATTTAATTATAAGGTACAGGAATCAAATCCAAGGCACAAGCCCTGTTATCAAAGGCTTTGTATATTTATAATTTACAATTTATTTCGTCGAAAATATGAATGATTAGGTATTAAAAGTTGTGTTGCTCAACTGTACTAAAACAGACGACAAGTTTCGGCTGAAGGACGCATGCGAGATCCTACAGGACAGTTGAAGGCCACGCTGCTCGATAAGGAGCCCAAGATGTGATACTTTTTTAGGTTGTTCTCATACTTGTAATCGTAGCAAAGCGACTGAGCGAATCCCAGGAAGAAAAGCTGATCCGGTGACAGGTCGAGTCCTGACATCTGCTCGCTGATCTCCTCCTGGTTGTAATCCTTCTTTTGACCTTGGTAGGCGGTATATCCCAGTTGTAGTGAAGCAAAGTCAAGGATGTACCCTTCTGTGATGTTGTAGCGATCTTGAAAGCACTTGATGTTATCTTTAAACTGGGATGGCAAATCCCCCGACGAGAAGTCCACATAATCGAGGAGCTCGGTTGCAAGAACGTAACTCAAGGCGGCGAATTTCATGGATAATGGCCATGAGCGGTGGTAAAAGGGGGGTTGCAACAATACGGCCAAGTGATAGTCGTTCACCAAGAGCTTGTCATTTAAATCGTTTTCGGTTCTGAACCTAGTGATGTTGACACTGAGGCGCTGAAGATTTATTTTGGTGGCAGTGTAATTATTGTCGACTATTTCCTTTCGACCAATCAACTTGATCATTTCGTCGATCAGCAAGTTTTTCTTACTTGAGCTAAAAGGAACAAAATATTCGGAATCCACAAAAAGAGGTCCCCCAAAAGGCCAAACGGTTTCCTTCAGCGACTTTTCTAGACTATCCCGCACTTCCTTCAACTCCAACTTGGTTTCCTCAGTTAAGTACTCCTGGAAAAAGAACATTATTTATTTATCAAATCATTTGTTATTTGTTGTTCAAATAAAAAAATAAACAAATAAACAAATAAAGTATTTGGATCAAAAGAGAAAAATCCTCTAAAATGTAAGCATTTTTTAAATTAATTATAATCGTACATTTTATGTTCTAATAAAAAAACAATAAATGAAATTCAAAACGAAATTGCTTGAATGCAATATGAAATATAAGGATGTAATCGTAGGACGACAGGACTCACCGCCATAAAGAGTTTGTTGAAGAGGTACCCCATTGTGTGCTGCACTGTTGTCTCGCAGTAATCTCCTTGGCTTTTGGTGGCATTGTGTTTGGCCTCGACTGTGTAGAGCAGTTTCATGGCCAAATAATTGGCAGTGGCCTCAGGATAAGAGGCACAAATTCTCGAAGTCACTGCTTTCCACCATTATAAGCTTGCGCCAGAACTCAAACACCCCGTCGATCACTTCTCCAATTTTGTCCTCTGGCAGCTTAAAGGATCTCAGGTATCCGCGCATGCGCTCCTCGTTGAGTTGGTAAACTTGGCTGGAGTTACTGGCATTGATGTCCTGCTGGACGACGGTATCAAATCCCAGATGTACCGGTTCACTTGATTCGGCTTCAAAAGAATAATCAAAAAAGGAGTACTCGTGGATTAGACCTTCTGCCCCGTAATTGTTCAAGCCGTAGCTCATGTCGACCCAGTTAAAATCAGAGACATTCCAGGTGGCTCCATCGACAGCCGGAAATCCTCCGATAGACCGAATGATTGTGAGATATTGTGGATCAGTGGCAAGAAAGGGTTGTTGATAACCCGCCTGACAGGCATTGTAGAATCGTTGGGCCACCCTAAGTTCGCTCGTCGCATTGATAGCCTCCGCCAGATCCATCCTACCCATTAAATATTCCGTCTTGCCCACCAGGTGATTTCTGACCTCATTCAAACTGGAGATCCTAAATCGGAGCGGGGAGCTGTTTCGATAGTTTCCGCAGGCGTACTCAAAAAAGTCGTCACAAGGATCTGCACTCAAGTTCATGTAGGACTTCATGAGATCCGAATAGGACTCTAGGTAATCGGCTTTGGAATTGGTGATTGGGTTCCCATCGCTCTTCGTAGTAAATATTAGTATTAGCACGAAAATCAGTTGTCTAACCAATTTTGGGCTAGTGCCGTCTAACCCAATTTTTTGGAATAATTCCATGTTAAACTTTTAGGTGGACTTTTCAATTCAGAATTCGAATTTTTACTGGCAGCTGGTTGCAATACAAACCCCTTTTATATGCTCAACTGGAACTGATAAAGTATCAAAAAACCTTTTAGGATTATGCACCACAAAACAAAATACTTTAATATTTTTAATAAAAAAACTTGGGAGATTAAAGCCAAAAATGTTTCGAGATATGTAGAAGTGGAGGGATTTGCGGACAAACTTTCCATTGTGATAAGAGGCATAGAAAAATAACTCAAGATTGTTTAACTCCCTTGCAGATTTCACGAACGAAAAGTTTACTAAAATAGCATAAATACAAAACATGAAATAATAAACATCAAAATATGTTTTATATGAAAAGAATTAAATACTTTTACGGTATTGAAACAGACAGACGGACGGACGAACGAACGGTCAAACGGACGGAAGGACAAATGTACGGACGGACAGACAGAAGGACGGACAGACGGAAAGACGACGGACTGACGGCTATATCAACTCCCCTATTGATTCTTATCAAGAATATATATACTTATTGGGGTCGGAAACGTCTCCTTTACTGCTTTACAAGCTTTTGACAAAAGTGTATGAAAAAGCAAGAAATATAGGGTTACGACAAAGCATCCATTATTTCTTCGAATAAGAAGCTAAAATTTAATAAAGTTTTTTAACAAGAATACCAAAAATCAATAATAGATCTTTTAAATACTGGAAACCCATTGATTTTGATAGCCGTTGATATTAAAGTAATACAATTTAATTTAGAAGTTTTAGAAAACTCCCGATTTAAAACAATGAAATATTTGTGCAGCAATTTTTTATTGTTCTTATAATTTTGTAGTAGATGAAAATATTTCTTGAGTAAAAACCTTCACTCTCCTCGAAGTCACCCTACCACAAAGGACAAGTTTTGGCTACAGGACGCATGCCAGATCCTACAGGACAGTTGAAGGCCTGGAAGAAGTCTTCGTTGCTCGTCAGGGAGCCCACAGCCTTGTACTTGGCTTCCTTTTTGGACGCGGAGCACAGCAACTGAGTGGATTTGAGAAAGAAGAGCTGTTCCGGCAACAAGTCGAGTCCCGGCATCTGTTCGCTGATCTTCTCCTGCTTGGGATCCTCCAGGAGATGCTCTATGTAGCTTTGGTAGGCGGCAAACGAGAGTCGCAGTTGGCCAAAGTCTTCGACTTCACTGCCATTCCTCTGATTCTCATCCAAAATTCGGAACTTGCTGAAATAATCCACGAAGCACTCGATGCCTTGGCTATATCCCCTTTGGTGTTGGAACTTCTCCTTGGGCACAAAGCGGCCCAGCAAACTGGCGAGGCCACCAAATTTCAGGGAGTAGGGCCAAGAGGGGTCGAAGACGGGGGGTTGAAAGAATGTTGCTAACAGGGTGACGTCATCCAACAGAGAGTGCTGCGAACGGGAGGAATTGTAGAGTTCCTGGGCGTGACGAGTGCTGAATCGATCGATGTCGACAGTGAGGCGTTGCAGATTTATATTGGTGGCTGCGTAACTATCGTCGACTATTTCCAAGCGGCCTATCTCCGGAATTATGCGATCGGCGAGCAATTTATACTCGGCCAAGTCGAATAAGGGTTCTGTCTTGGGCAGCTTTTTCGCCGGATCCTTCGAGTCCAACCAATCAGCTTTGTCCAGCGATTTTTGAACGGTCTTCCGCAGTTCCAACATAACTTTAACAACTTCCAACTTTGCCGTCTCAGTAAAGTGCTCCTGTAAGAAAATTATATATATTTAATTATTTATTTTAATTGCTAAATTTTTGAGTTATTTATATAACAAATTATGACCTTGAGTTCGCAAAAATCTTTACATGTATGTTAAATACAGGTCAAGTCAATCATTAATACAAATTATTTGTTTATAAATCTAATATTACATATATTAATATATTAATATTACACAAACGATGATCGATTTTACGTTAAGTGGTTTCAATCGATACGCTCGAAATGTAAGCAATAGGCCAGTTCGAATTTTGAATATGACATCTCCCTCCCACTCATGTAACTTTAATCGCTATCTAACTCTTTTTCTAATAGAGAGAGAGAAAAATCGTTTTTGAATGGTAAAAACGATGTGCCTACATGACACTTACCGAAAGCAAGAGTTTGTTGAAGAGGAACGCCATGGTGTACCGCATTGTTTCTTCGCAATAATCCTGTTGGGTTTGGGTGGCATTGAGTCGGGCATCGAATGCGTACAGCAGTTTCATGGCCAGATAATTGGCGACGGCCTCGGGATATTTTGCACACACCTTGTCGATATCCACAAAGTAGGAATTACACCTGGGGTTTGGGTCCTTGGGTAGATTCCCGTTCCAAACGATCTGGAAGTAGTTGTTCTCGAAGATTTCGCAGTTTCCTGGGAGAAACGTTTCTTCCACCTTTACAGCCTCTCGCCAGAAAGCAAAAACCCCATCGATCACTTCTGAAATTTTATCCTCTGATAGCTTGAAGGATCTCAGGTATCCGCGCATGCGCTCCTCGTTGAGTTTGTAGGTTTGGGAGGAGTTGCCAAGGAGGATGTCCTTCTCAACGGGGGTGTCAAAACCGAATTCCGGAACGTACAAATACGGTTCAAAGGGATAACCGTATATCCCTTCGTTAATTAGACCCTCTGCCCCATAGTTGGTCATGTGGGCACTCATGTTGAACCAGCTGAAGTGGGAGGCATTCCAGTTGGCTCCGTCGACGGCGGGAAAACCTCCGATCGACCGAATGAGTGCTAGATAATGCGGATCATCGGCTGGAAAGGGGGATAGAGAAGCTCCCAGACAGGCGTTGTAGAACCTTTGGGCCACCTTCAGTTCCTTCGAGACATTGAGAGACTCCGCTAGATCCATTCTGCCCAGAAATGCTTCCGTCTTGCCAGCCAGGTGATTTGTGAAGTCACCGCGACCGCGACTATTACTCCAGATCATCCACAAAAGCGGGGAGCTCTGTTTAAAGTTTCCGCAGGAGTACTCATAAAAGTCCTCACAAGGATCCACACTGAAGTTCATGTAGGACTTCATGAGATTCGCATAGGAATCTAGATAATCGGTTTTGGAATTGGTGATGGGGTTCCCATCGCTCTTCGTGGAAAATAGTAGTACAAGCACGAAAATCAGTGGTCTAAACGTGCCGATTTTTTGGAATAATTCCATGTTAATTAACCGATGATGTACTTTTCGATTCAAAACTCAAATCTATACTGTTAGCTTTGTGAAAAGTGGACCCCTTCTTATACGCTCCAATTCGAACCTAAAAAGTTTCCATAAATGGAAAGTTTTTAAGATTGAATACATTTATCTAACAAAAAATATATATATTTTATATAAAAACTTTTAAAGATTAAATGTATGGCCACGCGCTTGCAATTTGCAAAAATCCAAGGCCAAACTTTTCCATTCTGATAAATGGCATAACAAATAAAATTACTTTTTTGTATTGCCTAATCTTAAGAATAAAATAAATATTTATAGAAGAGAAAAAAACGAAAGAATTTATATTAGAATTAGAATCGTGAACATAATCGTTGTTTAATATTAAGTAAGTTGTTATTCTGGGTCATTTACACTTTATATTAAATTTAAATTATTTCCGAATTTGACAAAGCAAACTTTTGAATGCAGTTAAATATTTAAAAAGTCTCATTTGAGCTAAATTTAGTCATGTAATTAATTATTTTAAGTGTAGTAGCGCTATCTTTGTGTTTGTGTTTCAGAGCGTGATGGAAATAGTTATAGTTCTTCAAAATGGTGGAACACATAGACTTTCTAGCCACGCCCACAATAATTAAATCGCTGGTTTTACTAGTTAGGTTCAGGTAAAATTATAATATATCATTTCGGAACATAAGATGGCTTAAATCAATACAATTGATTGATCAAAGAATTTGAATTTGTTTTCTACATAGCTGTTTCGATCCCTCTACACTGAATTTACCCCAATGTAAAAGTAAAGTTTAAACTTAAAATTGTACAAAAAATTGACTAAAACAATGAATTATTTCAAAATACAAGTAAGAAAATTGTGTTTGGCTTTTTCATTAACGTTGCATTTAATGTTTGTATTTTTAAAAAGTGTCAAAACATATTTGTGGATTCAAAAAGCGCGGCTACTCGATAATATTATATCGATGATTGCGGTCTTTATATCGAATAATCAATCGTACTTGACAACATGGCCACACCTTATTTGCAAAGGCGGAATTTTTAAATAATTTGAATTGCTGAAATTTTGGTTAACCCCTTGTAATTGAAATACTGAGTACTACTAAAAAATTGTGGCTTACAAAACCAATCAGTTTTAAAATTGTAATGTTGGTTTAGCTTTAATTTCACTAGAAAACCCTCCCCCAAAATAATAAATCATTTCCATTTAAATTTTAATAATTTCTTTTTTTTATTATTTTCACATTGTAAATTTAATAATTATAATAATTGTTTTGTAAATTTATCAAGACAAAAAGGTTTTATTCATTTATATGAATGCGTTTTTATCCATTGAATCGTTTGGCTTACTTTGATTAAAATACATTTATGCGTAATATTTGAAATATAAGTTACTTTGAATCGTTCTCATTCGTCTCTCAATATTTTTGGTTACTTGTTTCGGATGTTTTTAGCGGTATTTTTGGTGTTCTCTGTCGAGCAATAAAATGAACATTTGATGCCGTTTCAACGAGGTTCTTAACTTAGGGTTCGCTATTGTTGGACATAAGAAATAAAACAAATAATACAAGTGTACTGGGACTTCCTGCTCCGCATATTTACACATAGAGTGAGGTGAACAACTTTAACAGAGAGTTTTTGGGATAGAAAAGTTGGAGTTCGGAGTTTGGAACACATAAAAACGATCGTCCTCCAATTAAGTGTGTGTGTATCGTATTTAAATAACTAACAATTGTTTATGTTTATGTACGTGTGTGTTATGTAGTGTAGTGTGTATTTCATATAAGGCCCTAGAGTGCAAATATCCATCACAAACCACATAGTATTTGCGCTTAAAAATAAGTTTCTCTTCTTTTTTTTGTGTTTAAGTTAACATTCTTTTGTTGTTAAGGGTTTTTCGTTTAACTAGGCTAAGTATTTACTGTTGTAATAGTAATTATTGTTAAATTTATGCTAACGTGTGCTGGCTGTACTTGAAATCTGAAGTATTTCAACTCGAGGATAACAGTTTGCGTTGTTTTGGTTTTGGATTCTCTAGCTTTGTTCTTGCGAAATAATTTACAAAAAATATATGTATTTACACATATATACTCGTGATCGACCAAGCGATCCCTTCTCCTCGTCATTAAAAATACAAATATATAAAAATTAATTAAGTATTAAATGCATTTTTTTGTGAGTGTTGTTCTCGATTTTTTTGTGTGTCTGGAAAAGCAAGAAAATCATGGCGAAAATTCCTTGGACAAGTTAAACATCATAAAAAAGAAATGTTCGTTGTTCTGGAAACCTTGTTGTTTGTTTTTAACTAATTTTAGTTTGTGGCGAGTAAGAAACGATTATAATTGAAAGTTGATTCTTTGGTTTTTTTGGGCTAGCGCAGGAATCGAAAGCATTATCAATTATTTAGTCATAAATTTATTGTCATGGCAAACATTTCGATAGTTAATAGGGGCTTTGGTTTTTCCTTTCCTTTTTTTGATTTTTACATTTAATACGCACACGGAATTTTGCTAATCGATTTTTCGCGAGACTTTTCCAAATCATTTCTTTTCGTTTTTTACAAGCTAGTTTTTTTCTTTTCTGAATATTCTGAAACGTTTTTTAATTGTTAAATAATCTTTAATAAGGCCAAATTAAGTTTTTGTTTTCGTTTCGTATATATTAAATATTAGTTAGCATTAGTTTAGTTTAGCATTAGGTTTAGATTTTAGACTTTAGATTTAGTGGGTTGTCGAGAGTGGCAAGCGGCAGCCGGAGGCCTTAAATGCATGAGTTGCACCTTTTTTGGGGCGCGGCTCTGGCCTAATGGAATGATCTTGTAGGTGTTTTGTGCTTATTTCGCGATTGATTTCGATTTCAAAGAAGGGAAATTTAAAGCGTAGCTTGAGAAAGATGTTTCTGGGGTGGTTTTCCTTAAGTAAGAGGGCTTGAAACGCGCGGCAAGCGGTGGGTTTTCCATTTAACATAGACTATATACGAAATGGGGGGGCGTGGACTTTAAAATGTGGTGGCTTTTAATACAGTTTCGCTGCTTAATACTTTTGTATCTCTGGTATTGTCTGCTTGTATTTTCTTGAAGTTTCTTTTTGCTTTTCTGTTTGGTCCGGAGGTTGTTGGGTGGAAAATTCCCTTCGAGCGCTGGTTTGCAAATGTCAACCCAGCCTGGCTTAACCGAAAACTAAAAGTTACAAGTTACAAGTTACAGCTTAAAAAAGAATACGTTATCGTAGAAAATATACATTTATTCCATTCAGGAGTGGGTGGCTCTTAACGATTCGAGTGTTTTGAGTATTCTGCAGCACTTGGTACTGGGGATCTCCAGCTCCTAAAACTAATTAAACTAACAACTAAAACATTAAGGGGTAAAAAAATAGATAAAACGATATCTTTAAGCGAGTCTCGGGGGGCCAAACAATAAAAAATTTAGCCCTCGACTCGAAACTTAGGCGGTAAAATGGTAAATGAATAAAATACTAAAAACAAACTGCTTGCAACATAGTAAAAATAATAAATTCGCTCAAACGAAAGGTTTTTCAACTACGGCTTCTCATTTATCCTGGTTTTAAATGGCTATAAAAAATATTTCTCTCTTTCTTTGTTTTTTTTTCTGACTCTGACTCTGTCTAAAGTGCATTTCTTTTTTTGAAGGGTGTTGGTGTGTTCCTGCACATTCTGAGATTTTCTGTTCGTCGGTTTGTTTAAGTACTTAAGTACTAGCTTAATTTGGAAACATTTTGGCATTGAAGAAGTCGAAGGCGGGCGTAGACGTGGGCGTGGTCTGCGGCGGGGGCGGCGGCGGTGGCGGCAGCAGTCCCGCATGATGGTGAAAGAACTGCGCCGGCGGCGGATGCTGATGGCCAAAGGCTCCTTGTCCAGAAAGCAGTGGCGGCGGATGAGGAGCCGGCGGACGCATCACACCAGCTCCGTTCCAGGAGAGCCTGTGATGCTGCTGCTGCTGCTGGAAGGCAGCCATGGCCGCCAGATGGGGATGAGGATGCGGTGGATACTGGGGATTCCCCGCCGACGTGGGAACCTGAGCGCCACGACGACGTCCTCGATTACTAACCGCCGTCGTCGTCGTCGGCGGAGGAGGATTGGCTCCCGGTTGGCAGGTGGGCGGCACTGAGGTGTCGCTTACCTATTCCCTGTAAGGCTTGCAGTAGGAGTACCGGTGGTTCATGTGCTGGCTGTAGCTGCCCGAGTGCGAGAATCGCTTCAGGCACTTGATGCACTGAAAGGGCTTCTCGCCGCTGTGCAGACGCTTGTGCTCGGTGAGGTGGTGCTTGTGCTTGAAGGCCTTCGGGCAGTCCATGCACTGGTAGGGTCGCTGACCTGATTTTACAAATAGAAAATTCAAATTAGTTAACGGTTTCTGGATACTAAGACTCTAGTTAACCCACCGGAATGCTCGTACTTGTGCCGCGCCAGGGAACTCTGCTTGGCGAAGGCCTTGTCGCACTGATCGCACACGTAGGGCAGATCGGGATCGCCCGCATGGCCGTGGGTCTCCGCCTTGCCGCGCCGGGGCTTCGGCGGCATCAGTGCTCCTCCTCCAAACTCATCTTCGTGGGAGATGCGCGAGTCGTCGTCCCGCCAGGAACGCTTCTCCGAGCCGCCGGGACTCAAACTGGTGCCCCGGTAGTCGGGCAGCTTAATACTGTTCATCAGGGGATGGTGATGCGGATGATTGGGAGCATATTCCCCACCCGGTCGCATCTTAAACAGCGCCTCCATGGGCAGCGGCATGGGCAGCATGTAGGGCGGTAGTCCTGGGAAGGCCTGGCCACTACTATTCGGCGGCGAAGGCCACAAGGCTGCCGCGGATGAGGGCGAAATCGAGGCTGGCGAGGTGGAGAACTTCCTGCTCAGGTTGATGGCCTCGGGATTCAAGGCTTCTCCGGCTAAAGGAGCTATATAAGGAGGCGAACTCTCACTTTTCGGCGTGAGGGGATCTCTTTTCACAGACAAATCTAGCGGTTGATCCTCGCGGGTTTGGGATGTCGGCTGGGAATCATTCTGGGGCACAACTGAAGGAGCCTGATTGCTCTGGTAGGATTGCATCTTGCGCTCCCTGGAGCGATTGTTCTGGAACCAGACCTGCACCACCCGGGGATCCAGCTGCAGGCGGGCTGCAATCATGCGGAACTCATCGCGACTGGGTCGCGCATTCAGGGAGTAGTGCTGCTTCAGCTGCTGCTGCTGCTCCTCATTGATGGCCGTTCGCACGCGCACCTTCCTTTCGCCGCCGCCGCTCTCCTGGCGCGGCTCCTCCATCTCCAGCTCCATCTCCTCGTCCTCCTCATCCTCCGAGCTGTTGGCCAGCTGCTGCTGCTGCTGCTGCTGCTGCTGCTGCTGGAAGTGCTGTTCCAACTCCTCCTTAATCAAACCGCACAGCACCTTCTCGTGCTGCACCAGCTCAGTGGGGTGATTGAACTGCTTGGAGCAGCGACTGCAGCGCAGCTCCTCCGCCTCCTGGGAGATTTGGGGCTCTTCTGTGACATTCAGGGGTTCCTGCTCCTGTTTGATGGGTGGATACCCCTCGGGAGCCGGAGAGGCTTCTCTGCTCTCCTCCCGCTTGACAGGAGCTACTTCTTCCGGGGCCTCTGGCGTGGGCACCCTCTCCTTGACCTCCGGCTCATCGATGTCCATCACCAACTTCGGCTCATCGGGCGTCTCCTCCTCCTGCTGCTGTTGCTCTCGCTCCTCCTCCTCCCGCTGCTGCTGCTGCTGCTGACCAGCAGCCGACAGTTGCAGCAGTCTCTGGATGCTGTACGGGTGAACCCGGGGATCCAGGCCAGCGGCGGCGGCTGCCATGAAGGTCTGGGGAAAGGCGAGGAGGGCCGCATTCATGTTCATGTAGTTCGTGGGATGGAAGGGCGAAAAGGGCGTGGGTGGCGCATTTCCTGCTCCCTGATTTTGGGCATCGCTGGCGAAGTAGATCATGGGATTGGGCAGGCCGGGCAGGGATGGCTGCTCCGGCAGCTTTCCCTTGTTGCCTTGAAGATCCGAGGGCGATCGTCGCGAGGAGCTGGAGGATCCCACCGATCCAGGACTCTTCTCCAGTCTCTTGAGCAAAGCACGATTGTTGTTCAGCTTGAGGCCCATGCTGATGCACTTCTTGGAGGTCATGTGCGAGGAGAAGCTGCCCGAGTGCGAGAACCTCTTGCCGCAGTTGTCGCAGCCGAAGGGCTTCTCACCGGAGTGGATGCGCACGTGCTCCTTCAGGTGGTGCTTGAACTTGAAGGCCTTGTCGCACTCCTTGCACTTGAACTTCCGCAGGAGCGCGCTCTCGTCGTGACTGATCATGTGCCGCTGCAGGCGGTACACATTCGCAAAGGCCTTGTGGCAAATCCGGCAGGTCTGCAAAGGATCGGAAGAGATAGGATCGTATTATAGAGGGTGCTTGTATGGAGAAACATATGCATATATCTCTAAGATACTATAGTCAGGCTAAAGATACAGTTTTTAAAAGGATTAGCTTTTTATAAGACAGTTTTTTCAACGAATTCAGAGATTTTTTAAAGTGTGTTTGAAGTGTAAAATAAAAAAAAACTATTGTCAAATATTTTTAAATATTAAATATTAAGTATAAACAAAAAAAATTTTAAAATTGTCAGAAATGAAAAAAAAATTGTTTTAACTGCCGAAACTATCGCATAACCGATAGTTCAAACTACCATCTCTAGTTTACAGCTTTTGCCGCCCACTCATCTAGTTCTCTCTCTCTCTCATTCTACGATCTTTTGTTTTCCCCGGTTACCTTTTCCAGCACAGAAGAAGCGGCGAGCAGAAAAGCGAGAGACATTTTGGGGCCCAAGAAAAAACGAGAAAAATGATAAACGAAACACCGACGCACAGGTAATAAAAACTGTTTAAAACAACACGCGTATTTATTTGTTTTAAATTTAATGGCTTTCTAATTTGTTTCAAGGCGAGAAACGCGACCACAAAGCAGGCCAAATCAAAAGCGACCGCCGAAAACGGGCCATTTTTTGTGTTTTTTTCTGTGTGTGCCTCCAAGTCGTAAATGGGGATATTTTGTGATATTTCGGCTATTTAGTGAATTGTGCAAACGTTTCGAATTAAAAAAGGGCCAGCTTCAATTAAAAACTACAATTAAACGCGGAAAAATGCGAAGCGCGCACAGCACGAAAGAACGCGGAGAACGGAATGAAGCGGAGGACGAAAAAAGACGCGTCGCGGCGCGAAAGAGATGGCGCTACTTCCAGTGAAGGTGGATTGTCACTGGAAAACAACAAAGCTGCACTCAGCTGTGCGCTTCCAATAAAAAGAAAAAAAACTTCAATTGGAAAATTGCGACACAAAAAAGAAAACAAAGCGGCTGAAAAATAAACAAAAATGCATATCATCAAATGTTTCAACAGCTGATGCTGATCAAATTTTGTTTGTGCTTTGATTTGATTTGTTTGGCAACAAATTGAACGCATCAAATGCTCAAAAGGTGGAAATGGAAATGTAAAGGAAAACGAAAGTGCAGCGCCACTTTCCCCCGCTTTCCCCTCGCTTTTCCGCCTTCCACTTTTCCACTTAGAGGCTGCGTTGAAAGATTTGCGGTACTTTGGCGGACAGATGGCAACACGTGTTGTCCCCCTCCCACTTTCTATCGCATCTGCGTGTGTGTGTGTGTTGTTTACCGTTCAGCCGTTGAACTTTCCATTTATTGCCGTTTCACCTTCGCTTCCAGCATTTTCCAGTTGTTATTGTTGCAAGGTTCACGACATTCCAGATTGTTATTGGAATTGGAAAAACAATTTTTGAAAAACTGGAAAATCCCTAATTAAGGTAAATATTTTTGTAATAAAATATTTTTAATCAAAATCACAATATTCTAAATAATACCTGAAAAATCCCAACTATTTACCAAGCTCCACTGTACTTCTTTTGGACTTTGACTCCTCATTTAAGGTTACTTTTACGGTTACTCATGAGTCTCAATTAACGCACATTTGCGCCATTAGTCATTATCATCATCACCATCAACTCGTAACCAATTTACCCACTCGAGAGATGAGATCACTCCAAACAAATAAAAACTATTATTATGTATTATAATTAGTTTGTTCGCTAACGTGACACGGTGTTTATTTTTTTAAGCGTGTTGGGGAAAATAATACATTTATAGATATAGCGCAGGCCTTCTAATTTGTTTGTTCTGCTGCCTGCCGATGGTAAAACATGAACGGAAAATGCTTTTCCTCATTTCGTTTCTCCATTTCGACAGCAATAACAATTTCCGCTTCCGTTTGTTGTTTTACCTGTGACGTCACCCCCCAAAAAACCCCATTTTCAAGCCACCATTTGTTCGCCAGGTGAGTGAGTGCGATAAATATATGGCTATTATATACAAATGGCCACCTGTCGGCTCACTCTCACACTAACACAATTGAAAACCCGTTATCTCTCCACATGGAGTCGGGCCTATCTGCATCCCTCTCTAGCGCACTCACTTAATCAGGTTGCTCGGTTGTAAACCGCAATGTACGCCTACCTAGAAGTCAGAAATCGTAGAACCTAGAAATGGTACAGTGATAACTTGATATGTGAAAATTCCATTATAAAAAAAAAACTCAATAAAATTCAAAAAAATCTATCAAATTTAAAAATAATTTTAAATGTTCTTGGAAAAATTTTAATAATATAATATACCTATATGAATTTATATTTTTTTCAGCATTTAACTGTATTATTTAATCCAACTATCCAGTCCCCACTGTACACACCTCCCAGAGCGGACATTAAACCGCAGCCGCGGTTCACAATGGACGGGCTTTGTTGTCGTTTCGTCGGCGTTATCAATTAAATGTAAAGCGAGGCGCAGCGCAAACGAAATGGAAATGAAAATGGCAGCCGTGAGATACGCCAGATACACCACACCACTTACACAGATACTACGGGGGACGCACAGATACTTAATACCCTGTATGTAGTATTTATATACAGTAGTGCACACGTTTACAAAAGGTAAGTTCCATTTGTGATGCGTCAGCCGGATTCGGATTCTTCTTATGCGCTTTTGTTGTTACAGTTTGTTATTATTATATTTGCGATGAGCGGAAATGCCAATTGAAGCTCTACCTTTAACAAAGCCCCATGAAGATGACCCCCCGCCCCCGGGGGTTAAACTGATGGGTGGACAAATGGATGGATGGACAGACTGTGTGCATGACTCAAGTGTTTTTCAGGGGAGCCACTCGAGCCAAAGTTGAAAATTGATTGATTCCACTAAGCGAATGAAAATGGAAGCTAAAACCACTCGAGAGCGTTCAAGGTACAGTCTAACCTCTGTGTCGATAAGCCACGCACACGTGCGTACTACGTCCGTTCCGTTCGCCCCTTCTTTTCCACATGTTGCTAGCTGCTTAATTAATTAAATTTCATCAGAAATGTTCGAAATGTAAGGGGAAGGAATGATTGGGCAGGGTACACAGTGAAAAATTATACAAAATACGATAAATTTTGGTCCTTCGAACCGGATAGTTATCGACATATTGATTCTAATGTTTCAAGCGCCTTTTCCATAACACTTGTTTAATAGCATTGGTTTTTCTCTGTGTACTTTCACTATTCACCTTAAATATTCGGGGTTTTTCAGAGCAGATAAGGCCGCACTATCACCACTACTATCACTATCAATCGATTCCAAAGAGGCGCGTGTGTGCTCGTAAACAAAGCAGATCAGGGTCGGGACTTAGACTTAGGTATGCGGATTAGCCAGCGAAAACAATAACTAACCCCTCTCTATCTCCTTTCTGCTTGCAGATAACCTCGATCAGGTGAGTACCAGAATAAATATTACAAATATTGAAAAGACAGCGGGAGGCTGGCTGCGCTTATCAAGCAACTTATCAGTTCGAAATACCCAAAAGATCGAACCGGAAACTAGCGGCCACACACAGTGGGCGGGAACATCGTCTTCAAAGCGCTCGTCAAGTTTAATTGTACTGGGCAACATCACATCATGTGTGCGGATGGTCCAGCGGTTGCATTTTGGCCTGGTTAATTGCAAGCGACAGTCCTTTTGGCTATAATTATAACGCAACGTAGGTGGGCGCCCGTTTTTTTTTTTTGGACCCACACCAAATAGACAAATCAAACGAACGAGACCCGCGCTAAGATAATGTCTTGTCGCAGACAGAGAGCTAATTTGTGAACGTATTTCACGGGATTGCCAGCTGAAAAATGCTTTATGCACTGAGTGACATGGGAATTTGGCCATAATAGCGCGCATAATTGGCCGTAAAAGATGATCGACCAAAGGGAGATCGTTCGGCTTTCAAAGTGTCAAGCCCAAAGGCGAACAAACAATGTTGACAAAATACCAAACGACGTGGACAAGGTGGGGAATACAGTGGGTTTCAAAAGTGTATGCATTTTAATGGAAATAAATAATATAAATTAAAATATGTCGGTATCTCCAATAAATATAATTTTATTAAGAATCCGGCTCGGAGGACCAAAAGTTAGTTTTTCAAGGGCTTTCTTCAGAACTTGCTCAAGAACCCTATAGTTTCGGAACGCACCGTTTGTGGTTTGTCCACATAGACTTGTCTATATAGTATCTGATAGATATAGAGGCGCACCTGTCGCCTGACGAAATGCGTAAACAAAAATAACAAAAAGCGACAAGCTCAAAGTTTTCTGTTTTTGTTTCATTCTATGTGATTCTTTTTGAGGTCAGGCAAAAGAAAAAAAATATTAACGACGCCACAAAGAAATGTTTAGCGCAAAAAGATGAAACGAAAGAGAGGGAGAATGAAAAATACGATGAACATAATAGTGTCTGATCTCTAACTGCTTTATAGCGAAATACGCGACCCAATTTTTCGCTTATCGCGCGGCAGCTGCCGCCTCACATATTCTATACTACTGATTAGGGTTCTCGAAATGAATGAATCCCCACGTCGGGCCATTGACGTACCTTTTCCAGAGAAGACAGAAAACGAGAACTAATTGTAGTACCTCGTGGAACCGATAGGTCAGGGGTTATCTCTGGAAATCCTGATAAGTCGGAGGTGCAGCTCGGACTTCAGATCGGTTAATTTATTGTGACTCTAGGACAATGAGTGAATTTTTATTACGTATTGCTGCTGGGGCTTTGGGTTCATTAACTTTCCTCGGCGCGATCATCTCTGCATTAATTCCATTGGGAAATTGATTAACACGCGCAGTTAACAGGGAAATACTTTTAGCCATTGCGGTCACTTTGCTGCCGCATTTCTCAATATTTTATGACCATTTCACCCGCTTTGTGCAGATATTATATTTTGCAGCAGCAGTGCTGGGATTTAAAATTATTAATTTTCCATAAATCATCTCGAGTTCATCGGCGGCCCCGGGAAACTGAAAATTTGTATTTCTATAGCGTGTCTGTTCTGTTTCGTTTTCGATTCTCATTCGCCAACGCAGCAGCGACAAATCAAATTTAATTGTTTATAAATAAAACGTTTTTCTCAATGATGATTCCCTGATTTTCCCGCCAACAAGAGACCTGCGAAAATTAGTTGCGTATTAGGAAAACATAAATTAGGCGACGCCGCGGTATAAATTAAATTTATCACTTTTGATAAAAGCCGGGGAGAGTCTTGGGAAATTAAGAAAATGTGTCGTGGAAAATTGTGTTTTTTGGGGCTGCCAGCTGCTAATTTTAATTCTATAAATTACAGTATTTTTATAAAAATATTTTGTTGAGTGTGGCTTGCGTTTTTTTGCATTATAATTATCTTTTCAGCGAAATAATTTTAATATTTCCTGTTGTGTGGGTTTTCTGGTTATCACTTTTAGCAGGAATTTGCATTATATCATGCGAGTGTCTATCATTTTATAGAGGTTCTCTGAAATATACTTTTCCATGTTCTAAGAACTTTGCCGTTTTTAACTGCAGTTTTTTAACAAGAAATAATCGTTGAAAACCACATCCAACGACAGTCTGTTTAATTTAACAACACTTTGAAGAATTTCCATTAAAACCATTTACAACTGCAATCTCAAACTTTTTCAGGAGTCGACTTCAAGTGCCATCTCTTCTCACAATCAGACTGCCCAATGAAATGTCAAGTGCTTTAGTACTATATCATACTATATACTTTCACCCCTCCTCCCCCTACTTTCCAATTCCCTTTCTCCCTTCGCACAGCAGAGCATTTCTCATTAAACATATCAAGTAACAACCGCACAATAAACGTCACAAGTGAAAAAACCCACGGGACTTGCAGCGGGGAAAACTGGGGGAAAAATCGTCTTAGGAATTTCCATGTGAGAAACTGCGCCACAAGCGGAGCCACATAATTTATGGCCCTCACGGTGAAAGTTGATATAAATCTCAGGAGTAACTTAAAAATGAAAGAAAGAAAAGAACAAGAGGTTTAAATTGTAGTCGAGCGACTGACATGTGGAAAAGCGCAGGTGAAAAAAAACTGGGGGAAAATCCAGGGAAAACCAGGGGATATCCTCAAGGAAACAGGAACTCCCAATGATGATGATGATGATGATGTGTTTAGGGGAATGGGCATGGAAAACATAAAAAATGATCTCAAGACAGGGGTTTTTTAAAGTGGAAATGGAGAAGCCACAATATCTAGAGCATTAATCAATATTTTTTGTCAACTAATTACAGACATTTATATTTTGTAATTTAAGAAATGTTTAAAATAATTTTTAATAACCCTTCAATAATATACCATTTAAATAAAACTAACTTAAGAGATTTTTTAATATTTTAAATAACCCATGCATAATACCATTTAAACACAACTAATTATAATATTTAAAAAAGTGATTAAAAAGCCAGTTGGCAATAAATTGTAACTTGGTGTTGTTTGAAAAACTTTTTTAATTTGTTTGCTTTAATTGCGAATAATTTTGGAAACTTTTAACGGCAGTAACGGGCAGCCCTTCCCCCATTCACCTTTGACCTTACAGTGGTGTCCGCAGAAAAGCATAAAAATACATTTAAAAGTGGGCAGACAAGAGAGAGCAAATAAAAAGGGTTGAGGGAAATAAATTGCTATTAATTTTTCACTCGCTCGGTTCGTCAAGCGGCGCCGAAAAGACGACGACTGTGTGGATATGTGGATATAAATGCGCAGCAGGACTCGCAGGACCTCGCAGGACTACACCTAAAGTGCATATAATTTTTCAATTTGAATTGTCTGCTCCCTGTCCCATTTTGTGGCGGCCAAAAAGGTGGCAACCGGAAGCGGAAGAGCTGAAAGGCCAACCCACCAAATGAGTTGTGGCCAAAAAGTTGCAGCCATGTGCGTTTGCAGTTAAGCAAATATTTAATTGCTGCACTTTTTCTGCTGAAAGTTGGCCAGGAATTACTCTTTGCTTTTTTTTGTTGGCCATAATTTATTGCCTGCCATTTGCTCGACCGTCTGCCCCTTTTTTTGTTTGACTCTTACCCCCGGTTAATGATGTTGACCTTAAAAACAAATGTTGAAATGTTGCATCAACAATGTTGGATTGATATCCCCCCCTTTTAATGCCTTTTCAATAAAATGCTTGCCTACTTTTGTGAGTCGACAGCCTGATTTCCATAATGAGCCATTTGTCTCACACTGGCTTTATTGTTATTTCTGGCACTGTGCTTTTTTGTTTGCCGCATAATTAATTGTTTTCACACATAATAATTTAATACGGCGAACACGTGTAAAAGCCAATGGCCAACAATATTAAATAAATGCAATGTGCCACATCAATTATAATTGGTTTGTTCGTTCGTTCGCGTAGTTTGTGCATATTTGGCCATGTGTCAATGTGGCTGTTGCCATTTTGGCCTTTTCGCATGTGTTTAAATGTTTAAATGTCATTAACAAACCCGTAAATTATATGCAACCAAAAGTGGGCAAAAAAGGGGGTAGGAACCAAAAAGAAGAGGTATAAAAGCGGAGTTGCAACTCATAAACCTGCTCTTCAGCTCTTGGAATTGGCCAACTTTATTAGCTTTTTCGCCAGGCTGCTGGCAATCATCGCAGCTTAGGTAAATATTAATAACGGACAGCAGTCGTGGAAAAAATACAAAAAACAAGCAATAGAAGGGAGACTAGTACAGTGGTTGTTATCCAGGGTAAAAGGGAATAAAATTGGGAGAAGTTCTGAAATAAATAACTTTGTTCAAAAGGTGTTTAATATATACTTTGAAGATTTCATTCTTCCATTAAAGTCAAGAACGGAAATGATATACAAATTTTTTTTAAATTTTTTTACCGAGTACTTAGGTACAAGAATAATTTTGTTTTAAGAAAAAAGTAGGAAAAATATTTTTTAAATATTCTTAGCCCAATTTCATTCCACTGTTGCCCCGAAAAAAATCAGAAATCTCATCTCGTATTTTTTTCGGGATGGTGTCAAACTTTTTCATTTCACTTGTGCTCTTCCATAGATAAAGGGAAGGTAAAAGAAGCGCCCCCACTCTCAAAAAAAAAAACGTCATACACGAAAAACAACAACAAACTAGCCATATGAATTTATGACCAACTGAGTTTGGGAGAATACTTTTGTGGATGGGGTGTACGTTTTGTGTATTTGGGGAGTGCAACAAAATTATAATTTATGTGGCTTTAATAGCCGCTGCGTAGCTCCAAGGTGAACCAGTCTCCTTTTTTTTCTGGACCCATCTCCTTACTTTTTCTCCTTATCGCATGGATGACGTATGAAACAGGCCTGTGTTTTCTTTTTTACTACCTACCATATAAGTATGGAAAACATATAAGGCAAAGATGGCGACGAAGGACAAGGGGAAAAGCGGTGGCGAGAAGAAAAACAAGTGGGCGGGGTCGTGTGGTTAGGTGTTATCAGGTTTGCCTGTAGCAACATTCATTTTAATACCTTATCACAGAGGCAGAGGCCTTAGAAAAAACAACAACTGCACAATTGGGAGTTATGAGCGTGTGACTGACAGTCTCCCCCCATATTTTTCTATATACTTATGTACATTGTACATACACTTTTTTATATGCCCCCTTCTGATAACACCCCCAATTGTTTTCCTCCGCCATTGGGGAATTTTCGTTTTTACTATTTTTTTCCGTTAGTTCGGTGAACGCCTACGTTTTACTTTTATGCCCCTTATCATAGTTTACTGTTGTTGTGTGTTGTTTTTTTTAGACCGATAAAACAAAAGTCGAAGGCGGTGGGCGATAAAAACAAGGCCCGTTTCTTAAACGTTTCTTTAAAAGTATGTATTGCACGGAAAAAAATTTTATTAAATAATTATCAATAGAATTTTGTAAAATATTCTTTAAAAATGTACATATACATTTTAAAAATTTTGATATTTTAGAAATAGTTCTTCATTTTGTTTTTTAATTTTCTTTGACGATTTGTCAACAGGAAATATGCATAAGGTTGGGTCTTGGGATCTCCAGACTCTCGAATGGGATGGGATTGGATTCTGTACTTGGCACCGCTGTCCCGTTATCGGTTAGCTCATTTCCCGTTAGCCGCGAACAAAGCCCACGCATTGTAAGCGCCGTGATGTGTTCAAAGATCAAGTGCCCCCCTATAATATCACTCTTTTTTTTTCAAGTCGGGACTCTGATTATGCATGAGTAACGAGCCACGAACCCTAACACGTAAGTCTCTCGAAAGAACCAAGGGATAAGAACAAGTAACTCTGCTTATCAGCAGGCGCTTCCAGGAATTTTTATCCTCTCACAGCATTCTTCAGTTTAGTCACTCTGAGTACCAGGGGTTTTCGAGTGATTGTCTTTGGGGGAGTAGAATTTTTATGAGAGGCATTCAGATATATTATTTTTGTCATGTGGTGAGTGTCTCGAGTTAATTATCACGAATATTTCTTTGCCGACGAGATATAAAAAATATTTGTTCTTTAAGAAAAAAAAATTTTTTTAATTATTAAAAATTTTTTTTGCATTTTTCATTTTAAAAGGTTTATTTTTCTTGACTATATCGAACCTACTCACATTCCTCTGTGCTATAAATAAGACTGTTATCTTCAGTAAATTATTCTTTAATATTAAAAAAATACTTTATAGCCTTGACTCATTCAACATATAAGGGAACTACTGAAATACCTCTGTTCTATAAATAAGTTTGTTATCATAAAAAAAGAGTGTGGTTGTTTTTTAAAACGAATAATACTTCGGTTTGTGTTGTTGAATTATTTTGGGGAATTTAATCTTGGAAATGGGTTGTTGAACTGGGTTTGTTTGCACACTATGACCTGATACTTTAATAAATTTGAAGGCAATATAACCTTTTTAGTGCATCCTACTACAAGTTAGTAATATTTAACTGAAAGATCATCTTACCTGTGAGACATTGGTGACGGCCGTTTGTCCGCAGGGCGAGTGGAGTTGCTCGTGCTGCTCGAGTTGCTCGCGACTGCCGAAGGATGCGGTGCACTGCATGCAGGGATACGAACTCAGGTCCCCGGTGGTGGAACCCGGACTCGAGGTGGATCGCGGGGCACTGAGATCCAGATCGTAGGCCGAATTGCTGCCCACACTGCTGTTGCTGCCCGGTGGTTGTTGTTGTTGCATGGCCATCTGTTGGTGTTGCAGTTGCTGTTGCTGCTGCTGTTGCTGCTGGCTGGGTGAACTGGCGGATCGGGCGGATTGCATGGCCAGGGAGGCCGCGGCGGCCATGAACTGGGCGTGCAGGTGGGGTGGCAATTGCGGCGGTGGGTGTTGCAGTTGGGCAAATAAATCGCCAGGTGTCAGCGAACCAGGTGAGCACATTGGCGACATTTTATTCGTATTATTGTGGTTTTTGGCCAGCTCACTATTGTTGTTGTTGTTCGACTGGTTGTTGCTGCTGCTATTGTTGTTGTTGTTGTTGCTGGACAGAGGGGATTTAGTGTACCGCCTACTGCTGCCGTTGCTCATGTTGCTCTGCTCATCCTCGGCATCGCTTTCCGGCTGAGCAGCTCCACAGTTCAGTTTGTCATGGGGATGCTCACTGGCAATATGCTCGCTGAGGGTCTAAAAAGTTCACATAAATATATATATTAAAATTTAACTTGTAACTTTAATCTTTGTTTGAAATTTAAATATTTTTGTATTTACATTTAAGAGCCGAAACAAATATTACTCATTTTATTCTGAGTAAGCTTAATTCTTAGTAAATAGGAACAAAATATTTAACAAAAGAATTCCAAGCATTGAAAGTCATACAATTTAGTATTTTTTTGAATGATAAAATTAACAAGGTAGAGATGATGTTTTTAAGTTGGAATTTTAGAATTTCTTTTACTTGTCATAGGAATATTTTTCTTTTTTTAAGATTTTATTACACAAATATTTTATTTTAGACTCTCTGAATTTTTTCCAACTCAGTTTTCCTATTAAAACTCACCTGAAACTCTGGGAATCGCTTGTGGCACTGGGTGCACTTGACCAAAAAGGCATCTGCAGCTGCACCTGGCTGGTTGGGATGGCTGGCATCCTGGATCCCACTGGATCCCGGATTGCTGTGCTTCGGCGACTGGTTGTGGTGGAGCAAAGTGGAGGCCAGCGAGGGAACTGAGGAGACATAAAGGGGAAAAAACAAATTAACTGCCAGATCGTTTAAGAACCATAAAATATGCCAAAGGGAACTCGAAAACCAAATGAGAAGAAATGAGTGGGGAAAAGAAATGGTTGAGGTGCTGCAGCGTACACATAGAGAAATTCGTGGAATTTGCGAGAAATTTTGGTTTAAATAATGCAAATTTACAATATTTGGTATTTTCTATGTGACCATATATTTATTAAATGGTTTCAGAGTGGCCAAATACATGGATTTTAAAATTTTATTATTAAATTATATGATCCAATATTTTCTTCTGTGCTCCCAAGAACTCGTGGATCGACTTAATTTCGTGGCAAATCAACTTCGCAGGCCTTCACGCAAGGCTGAAAATCCGGAGAGGCGATGATCTCATGGTTTCCGAACCGAAAGGAAAAAACAGAAACGGCAAAAAGAAGTGGAAGAATTAAAGAACACACGCACGCACACACTTGAGAAAGAGAGAAGAGTTGACTTAATCAGTTGAAAAAAGCGTTCAACCATGGCGAAGCGAAGAAAGAGACGGGCGGCAGAAGAGTAGAGAGAGAGGGAAGACGGTGCCGTGCCCAGAAGAAGATTGCTTTGTTCCCCCGAGGGTCACTCAATTGCCCTCTCACTCGCGCTCTGAAACTTTGTATCTGTATCTGAGAAGGTGGAATACTCGTTTCTGTTTCTTCACAAAATGGAGTTTCTGTTCTTCGGTTGGATTTTCTGTTTGTTTTTTCTTATAGAGTGTATAGAGTATAAAGCGAGTCTTTGTTCTCCCTGCCATTTGATCGCTACCTTAATTTAAGCCAATTAACTGGCGGCAGACGAAGACAGATACCCAGAGATACTCACATACGGGCATTGGAATGAATGAACCCTGTTTTATCGCCACCTTTCTGCCAGAAAGTATCTGTATCTGGGTATCTGAGTATGTGAGGGCTGTCGGTTCAATCGAGCGCAATCTACGAAAGTTCATTGCACGTTTTCACTTTCAATAGTTGCAATCTTAATTGGTTTCGATGCGGGTTCCGATCAAAAAAGAATTATAAATGATCATAATGATGATGATTCCCACCCACCTTATCACTTAAGAATCCATTAAAAGATATTATAGGACAACAGCTGAATGATATCTTTGGGTTCCATTTCCATACGTATAATATATAGAGTGCGTTTATAATCTCGAGTCCAAGAATTTATAAGGCTTGGCCCGGCTAATGACATTTTTATTAAAAGCTGTAAAACGGCAACACTTTTTTATGGCCCTACATTTTGTTTCATCAACATAATGTTGTGCTCCATAAGAAAATGTGTGCTGCTCGTGGGGAAACTCAACGTGAAACTCAACAAGTGTGTCACCAGCTCATTTAGCCCAATCAATTCTTCATAACCGACTCTTCTCGTCTCGAGTGAGGAATTATTAACGCAATCGCTTTTACACTTTTATTTTTTTCCGCTCCGTAACGGTATTGAAATATTGAAAGTGTCCCGCAAATTAATTTCAATTTATGCGCAGCCGAAACGAAATGAAAAGGAATTTCTTGTATTTGTTTCTGCGGAACGGAACTCGAGAGTTCTTTTTTTTTGTATATATTTTTTTTATATGTTTGGTCTCATCTTTCAGTTCATTTTTCCCCCGGGCTTTCAACTATTTTGCGCTTAACGCGAACCAATTGAAGTTGATTGATAGTGTTTAGGTGTGGGGCGAAAAAATCGGAAGAGCGAAAGTGCCAGACATTTTGAATTGTTCAAAGGAGAAGGTAATTTTAATCTATAAAATATATTGTCTAGAAAATGCAAGCGAACCTTCCATTATTTCCCCAAAAAAATTAAACAAAGTAAAGATATTAAAAACTTGCCAAAAAGTTGATTGGCCATTTTATTTAATTTTTTATTTTATTTTGCATTTTGGAGGGGAGGATTTTAGATTTCTGGGGCAATTTATGGGCGGCCACACGTTTGCCAAAAACAAAACAAAAACGAGGGGAAATCTTCTGGAATGATGTCAAATGTTTGCTGTTGTTTCGGTTTTATATTTAAAATTTTTTTTGGTTCACCTGTGCGGTGGAAAACACGCGCAACCGAAAATATTCGAAAATAGGGGGGAAATATTATAAATAATACGTAGATGGGCAGGCGGCGTAAATCAATGGCAAAATAACCGAGAAAAGATACATTTGTATCTGCAGCATAGAGAGATAGAAAGATACACCCACTAATTTTATGTGCTTTTTTTATTGCCAACTTTTATTAGCCAGACATATTTCGACTAAGCCCGGCTAATGCAAATTTATTTATTTCTCTTGGGCCGTTTCTCTTTTTTCGCTTTTGAAAATTGTATATTTTCATCATATAATTTATTTCCTTTCCCATTTTTCCACCTGACTTTACTCAGTTTTTTCCCCGCCTGTCAGTGTGTGGGGGCCAAAGTGTTTTTTAATATTTCACTGACAGCCGATTGTCACGACAATTTTACGCGCTTTTCCCCTCGCTCAGGTGAGGGAAATTCTTTGCACGGGGCCCCCGGAAAATGGAAAATTGTTTAGTGATTGCTGACGCAGTTGCAGACAAATGGACGACAGGTGGCGCCTGCTGGCAAGAGGGGGGTTTCGATGATATTTAATGCAAATAAACATAAATTTTAGCACTTAATTATAAACAGACCTCCGGAGCCTGCACTCATTTGCAGTCAATGAACGTGGTTAGCATATTTATGATATAAATTGCCTGCAAATGAGAGCGAGTGCAAAAACACTTAGTACAGAGCTAGCTAATTGCCAGTTGAAAAGTTGAAAAGCGGCGAAAAAAAGCTACGAAAAACGACACTTTCAGACAGTCGCAATTAATTTGTAAATGAAAACCTGTGGGAAGGCCTGTGGGTCTCCAATTGTTTTTTTAGATCGCTCAAATTACAGACGTGCGAATATTTATGGGAGAAATCCCCCGTCTCGGTATTCCGAATTCTTTTCGGAGGGTCCGAGTCTGATCTCAAGTGGCAATCGGTTTTAAACACACATGTGAGCGGCATATGTGGAGTTGTCCCGATAATCGCTCTAAATTTGGAATACTCTTTCGGTGGCTTACCTACCTAGAGATTAATGCACTGTGAGGAATTTTGAAGTACAAGATAAAAATAAGTGTATAAAAAATATTTTTGAAATCTCCAGGTTAATTTCTATCATCACCAATCATATTATCATATTAATAAAAAGCCGATGTGATTAATGTCAAATTTAGATTCAAACATATCAACTTGATATTTTATCATGGCATACAAAATTTAAAAATACTGTTTTAAAATTCCAAATTTAGAATTTTTGGAACAAATATTGTAAAATAAAATAGACATTATCTTTATTCATATAAAAATAATATGAATACCATATCAATCTGATCTTTTGTCAATTTTTGTTCCGTGTAAAGGAGTATTTTTAGCTTTACCTAAAATAAATACCACCAGAATTAAAAACAAATTTATTTTTCTCTCAGTGCAGCACCTTTGCCCTGGTCTACTCTCCACTTTTCGAATGGGCACAAAGGTGCCCACAGTTGTGCCCCTTCAAGTGGCAAATGCAAAGGTGCAGATTCGGAGCCAGACGTTTGCCTATAAATAGAGTTCTCCTTGCTGCCCTTTTTGCTTTTATTTGTTTGTTCAGCAAGCTGATGCTGCTGCGTGCTGCATGCTGCATGTTGCACGTTGCACGTTGCACGTTGCTAGTTGCCGCTGCTGCCACGTTTATTTTATTTGTAGCATTTTGCTTTGCTGAGTGTGAAATTTTAATAGCCAAGCGAGCCGTGTCCGCGTTCATGTCCCTGTCCTTTTTGCTCTCCTTCTGTTTTGGATATACCATAGGCGTATATATATTTAGAGGAGGTAAATCTGGAGGGCAGGGAAAAACATATGTGTCCCGGGGCGAACACTATTTCTGCGATTTACCTTGAAAAAATATGCAGAAATGCGTGTGATGTCGAGGAGTGTGGGCGTTCGACGTTTTCGAAATTGAAATTGGAGTTGCGATGCGTTGGCGAGCCGAAAGCAATTAGAGAAAAATATGCCACAGAGGTGTTCAAAGTGAGTGGTGAAAATAGGAAAAATATAGCCATAAGATAAAGATACTTTTGGCATCTTATCCCTCAAAGGAAGTTGAGAAGTTTTATATTTCATGGAACCAAAATAATTATGAAAACCATATTAATAACTTTTCAAATATTTTAGCTCACTAATTATTTTGAATAAAATACCTAAATTCGTAATATTTGTTGTTTATAAAGAACTAATTAAATAACAAAACATTTTCTTTTTTCATTTTCTTTTGAAATGTGTTTACTACTATTTTCTTAGAATTTATGAATTTCATTTTTGTTTTCATTTTTTAGATAATCCTAACTTTTCTTTAAACAAATATAAAATAAAAGCATTTTCCTATAAATTCTTTAACAAAAAAAAATCAGTTTTCAACTATCTGAAAGGTACTTCATTAATTCAGAAAATATATAACCAAAGTTCAGCTTAACTCGGCTAATTGATATTCACTCTGTTCGCGGTTCGTGTATAAATTTTGCGCCCTTCGCAAAAAAAGAAGAAAACACCGAAATAAAGCCCATCGAATGCAATTGAAACTTTTTCTGCTGCCGCTACCACAATAGAGCTGTTGACTATTTTTGTTTATTTAAAACTTTTAACAATTATTGTGCAATTGTGCGAAATTTATTGCAATTGAACGCCAATCAGAAGGGAAGTGCTACTGCCTTTTCCCTGGCTTTTCCTGGTTTTTCTCAACGCCAGTTACCCGTTAACCAAAATCGTTTACATGTTAAATTGTGTGCCTGCTCACTCCTCTTTTTTTTGTATTTTTTTAGAGCCTCCTTTTTGGCGCTGCAATTTTGCCTGCCCTTTGGCAACACCTTTTTTTCGGAAGGAGTAAAGGGGTTTTTTTTGAGTGCACCCTTTTGTTTGCGCCGATTTTTTGGCACTTTTTTTCGGGGGTAGCACCGCGGCGGGCATTAAATAAATAAGAAAAAATATATATTCACAAGGAGGCGGTCTGCATTCCGTGCAATTTTCACTTTACAACTGTTTCAAAGTTATCTTTGTTTCAATTGTGTGCACAACGGCAAAAAGAGCAGCAAAAAATATTGGCAAACAATTTACTTTTTTCGGTGAGCAAAAAAAATGCAAAATAAAAGTAAAATGTGGCAAATAATTTGCCCAAAGCTGCGGCAGGTTGAACATGGAATAAAGGGAATTTTGCAGCAGGATATCAAAGAGGACTTTCCCCTCATTGATTTATTGTCTTTCTGTGTGTGTTTGTTGAGGATGCTTCTTCCTCTGAGGCTCAATTGCAATTTAAAGGCAGAGTCTGTTTATTTTTTGGGCAACTTCACTTAAGATAGGCATCGGCGAAAATTAATCATCTTTGCATGCCAGTTGCCAGATAGTTTGGGGCCAAGTTTGTTTAATTTCGATTACCAGCTGGCGTGGAGAAAGTCCTGCAGGATGAGCAGGAGTTATAAATGGCCGCACCGACAGCACCAGCATATAAAACTGACATCCACTGACAGCAGCCGAAATGATTAATTAGTCTAGAGGAAATCCTGTTACTAGATATTCCCAATCAAAGATGCAAAAGTCAGATAGATGCTTAATTTCGGGGCGAGGCGAAAATATTCAATGCTAAACAACTTTGATGATTGCACAGAGAAAAAATATAAAATAGGATCAATTTTACCTCATTTCATATCAAAACAAGAGAGAACGCTATAGTCGGGTGCCCCGACTATCAGATACCCGTTACTCAGCTAAAGGGAGTGCGAAAGAGATGGAGAAAAACTTTGATCCGCCGTAACTTTTTAACGAATGGTCCGATTTAAAAAATTTCTTCTACATTTCGATAGGTATTGATAAACACAATAAAACTGCATTTTTACTTTTCCAAAATATTGAAATTTTTAAAATCGTATATATGCGATTGTGGGCGTTAGAGGGGGCGTGGAACCCTTTTGAAACAAACTTGCGCTGCGTAGGAACTCCTAGAATCTGCATGCAAAATGTCAATCTTCTAGCTTTTATAGTTTCCGAGATCTCAGCGTTCATACGGACAGACGGACAGACAGACAGACAGACAGACAGACAGACAGACGGACAGACGGACAGACGGACATGGCTAGATCGACTCGGCTAGTGATCCTGATCAAGAATATATATACTTTATGGGGTCGGAAACGCTTCCTTCTACCTGTTACATACTTTTGCACGAATACAATATACCCTTTTACTCTACGAGTAACGGGTATAAATATCAAAATGATATAAAATCAAACCATATAAAATACCAAAATGTAGTATTTATTTGAACAAATAATATGAAATAAGATAAACTTGATCTTTATGGATATCATTCTTATCTTAAAAAATATAAAATTGTTCAGCACATGTCAATCTGATCTTTTGTCTATATTTTTTCCTGTGTGGAAATTAGCGTTGATTTAGTGGCCACGAGTTTTCAAGATAAATAATATTTATTAAATAGAAAATATATCGAAAAGGGGCGTAGCTGTAGGTGATAACAGGCGACAGGTTTTCGCCAGGGCGAAATGTTTGATTTATGGCATTTTGGAGCCATTTCGAAATGCGACACAACACACGCCGAGCAGCCGGAAAATTAGTACAAGTTGCCTGGCGTTTTCCCCGCCCCACAGATTTTTCCAAAAAGCCAAACAGAATTTCGTATGTAGCCGGCGATTAATATCCATCGCAGTCGCAGCTGCCCAGCGCCATCAAAAGTTTGGGGTTTTTGGCCAGGGAAAAAACAGAAGAAGAACCGGAAAGTATATAGATACATTTGTATCCGCAAAGTATGTGGGCCAACCTGTGTGCCTGATCGATTAGCCGAACTATCTTGTTCGAGGGCTTTTAGTTCCACCCACAGAAAAAAAAGAGAAAGCCGAAAAACGAAGCTGCTTAAATAGCCATAAATTATAATTTATGGCTGCGGTGTTGCCTCTGTTTTTTTCAACCGAACATGTGCAATTAATCCGTCTCTTTAGCTGGCTTATCAATTGGGTAAAATATCGTGGGCGTTCCCCTCGAAAAGAAAACTTGCGCCATCCCATCAGCAGGCATTTTCAATTAATTTCTAGTCTTTCACACCTTCCATTTGAACCGATGAGCTCTGCCCACTGACAGTTTTATGCTTTGTTTACACTCGATAAACAGTATCTCTTGAGTGCTGACCTACAATATGGCCATAAAACAGGTTCCCTCAATGGAGGTTTTGACTCGGCCAAGTGGCAATTTCTACCTGTTTCAACCTGAAAACAACCTGCGCATGCGGTTTTCTTATTTAGGGGTAGCTCTACCTGTGTTCTCGGTGGGTGAAGATTACTGCCAAGGCAGCGGTTCTGTTTCGGCGGTGCCAACAAATCAAATTGAAATGTGCCTGCAATTGGTTGGCAAATAGGAGAAAAAGAGAGGGCAGGCAAGAATATAATGCCATTACTCAAGATCAATTGGGAGGTTTTCATGTCTAATGAACGTGAAATAGGCGAGGTTCTTCTTTCAGAACAATCCTAACTCGAAGGATCTATAAATGTACACTATTATTATGAAAATGAATTGAACCCATTGATTTCAACCCATTTATTTCATAATTTTGAAGGTTCTGATATTAGAATAATCCTAACTCAAAGGATATATAAATCTATGCCAGTAATACGAAAAGAATTGAATACATTGATATTATTGAAATAAAGTGTACCAGAACAGGTTATTTTCTAAATAGCATAATTTTAAAAATCCTCTGAATTAATAAAAAAATTTAAAATAGAATTACCTTATAGGTGAAAAGATTTAAGTAACTTAACCTTATTAAAATATACATTTTCTTTCGGTGTGCTGATCGGGCAAAACTTTGTTGGGTTCGCTCTCCTTTTTGAGAACCGCAGCTCCGTTCTCTGCGTAGGAGTAGGTAATTCGAGACCTGCTGTGATCCTTACTCGTTTTTTATGTTTTTGTTTCTCTACAGTTTCATATTGTTTCTGCCCCTGAGGTGAAGACCACACAAACACTTAAGATGGCGGAGTTCTGGAGTTTCTGGGAAAGTGCTAAGCTTGCATTTGGGATCTTTCGAGTCTTTTGGCGCGCAAATCGCGAATCGCGAATCGCCAATCGTTCAACAAACACAAACAAAGTTCAATTGCAACGGGGGCTAGCTGATAATGAATTCTGGAACCCTGGATGAATCATCGGGGGGATCTATCCCACTTTGGATCACTTACACTGCATGGTGAAGGCGGTTGTGGATGGCATGCTCTGCTGAATGATGGTATCCTCTTGGCCGAAACGTGAAGACGACGGCGCCAGACAGGACAACATTTGGAATGCTTGTTGTAACACTTTTGCTTTACTTTTACGGATAGTTTTGGTTTAGGTTTTGGATTTTGAGTGGGTTCTTCTGGGTTTTTAGCTATATTTTGGTATTTCTTATAAAGCACACACGTGTGGCGGCCATTTGGGCGAAAGGGCCTTGGGTTTTTATCTTTGAAACATTTCAAAACACTGTTTTCTTATATATCTTTTTCTTTACCGCTGCGAGTGTCGCGTTTGTTTTTATTTTATGTCGATTTTATATGGTCGATTTTTGTTCCGATCTATATACTCTATATGTGCGTGATTCTACTGTGTACTTTTCACAGTCTTTCTCTGTGGGGGAGCGACGCGTGTGCTGCCGTCGCGACGTCTACAGTGCAACTGAATTCAGAGTTCTAACTTTCGCAGCATCAAACTGAATCCGAATCCGAAAACAGAAAACCGAAACCGTCCTCGTCCGTATCCGTCGGATGCGAACTGAGCATTTGTCGGGTTGTACGGGGTTCTACGGGGGTTCTCTACTTTTTCACGGAGAGAGAAGAAGACGCAGCTATGCGAGAGAGAGAGAGAGCGCCTCTTTGGTCTTTCCACCACCAGCATAATATAACGGTGTAACGGTTCACCGTTGCGATATACGAGGTGGTTTGGACACGAAGTGGGGAGTGTGTTGGTGTTTTAATGGGGGGTGTGTGCTGGTGGTGGTACCCCTTAGTCAAGAAAACGCCAAGAGAGAGCTCTCTCTTCCAACATAACAGCGCGCTGTTATCTCATATCGTAAATGTTAGCTCGCCATCGGTAGTCGGTAGTGCCTCTCCTCACGTAACCTCCACTACGTAAGCGCTACGTAAGGGTGGTCTCATCTTCCCGTAAACATATGGCCGTTATACGGGATTTGACTATATTAACATTTGCTCGTATTTCCATTTTATTGACCAAGCGACTTATGAGGCGATCCATTAACATTTCCACCAACCATCAAATTTTAATTCCCTTTTACTTGGGTATTACCAAAAATTTCATTAATATTGAAACATGCTTGGTTTTAATATTTCTATGCTAAGCTTATCAATCAATTCCTGGAAATGTTTTTGGAAATATTCTTAAATAACAAACTTTATATTTTTTCGTTTTAAATGTGCAGTGAAGATGATTAGTAATGTGTTAATTGAATATTTTTTTGGAACACGGTTCAGTTGGTCATCAAATAATTCAAAAAAATTTATGCTTCAATAGGAAATAAATTAAATCATAAGTAAAATAATAGCAATCCATGTTTCATAATTTGCATTGAATTTTTATACCCTTGCAGAGGGTATTATGATTTCAGTCAGAAGTTTGCAACGCAGTGAAGGAGACGTTTCCGACCCCATAAAGTATATATATTCTTGATCAGCATCACTAGACGAGTCGATCTAGCCATGTCCGTCTGTCCGTCTGTCCGTCCGTCTGTCCGTCTGTCCGTCTGTCCGTCTGTCCGTCCGTTTCTACGCAAACTAGTCTCTCAGTTTTAAAGCTATCGGGATGAAACTTTCGTAAAAGTCGTATTTCTATTGCAGGTAGTATATATGTCGGAACCAAACGGATCGGACAACTATATCTTATAGCTCCCATAAGAAGGATCAAAAAAAAAAAACGTAAAAAAATTCTAGCTCCGGTGTTTTTTAAAATTTTACCTTCTACTCTTGGGAACATTTTTTTTTATATATTTCTGAATTTCGGTTTTTTTGTTTTTTAAATCGGATCACTATATCATATAGCTGCCATAGGAACGGTCGAAAAATTAAATGGAAATTAATGGGAAAAAAATTATATCTTTGTTGGTTTTTATTACAGTTCCTTCTACTCTGGGATATGACTATTTTGAAATATTTCCGAATTTCGATTTTAATTTTTAAAAGATCGAACTACTATGTCATATAGCTGTGATAGAAACGATCGAAAAATTAATGTGAAATAATAAGAAATTTAACATTTTTGCGATTTGTAAATTAATAGAATGATCTGCAAGGGTACATAAGCTTCGGCTTGCCGAAGCTAGCTTCCTTTCTTGTTTCTAATCAATTCTTGAGTGGGAGTTCACTTAAGATTGATTGTTTTTCTTCTGGGGAATTTTCGCGGTGGAAGATGAAGGGAATTTTTTTCCAGGGAATCCCTTAACCCTTTCCTGGCCATATCGGTGCGTTAACGGAGAAAACTCATTTGCACTTGCGATTGCAAAATGTTCCCTGCTTCGATTTCCGAGTAAGAAACACCAAAATCATTCCACGATTGCCACACATTAATGACATCGTTCGCTGATGGGCGATTTCTTGAGAATGTCCATCAATGGACACGTCTACAAAATGACAGAAGAGCAGAGATCCAAGAGATCCCCGAAGAATTTCTAACGAACAGAGGAGAATGTGAGTGGCTTGATTCTTTGGCTCCATCAACAAGTTGTGGGGTCTCTTGGGATTTTCTCTTTTTTCATCTTTTGCTGTCCAAAGAAAGATAAAAGAAAGAATTCTAAACCATTTGGGAGCAAAAAACAAATTTTTGGCCTTGTATCTTTAAGATACGTTTGTTTATTTAATTTGGATAAGAATTTTTTAATTTTATCTAAAAGATATAGTATATTTTATGAAGAATCTCGAGTGCTAATAAGTCATACCAAACTAAAATGTAGAATTCTAATTATCGGTTATTTGCTTTGTGCAGTCAAAACTAACACACACGGATAAAAAATCCAAAATATTCTCAACGAATACTCTTTCAAGAAGAGCAAAAACAAAAGGCAGACTCAACAGCATAATAAACAATTTGTACATTAATTTTTAATGCGGTTAACATGTGTTCCCCCGTCTCCCTCGCACACCCACACTTAAATACGTGAGTGTGTAAGTGTAAAATAGGTGGAGCTTCATAATTTTCTCACTTTTAAATGAAGGCTCGTGGGCGGGAAAGGGAGAGAGCGAGCGGAGCGAACGAGAGAGGGATAGCGAGGGAGAGGCCGCTTTTTTGTTGCTTCGCATTCATTTTGTATGTTAATTAGTTGCCGTTCACTCGCGAGTGTGTGGCTGTATTGTGTATCTGTGTGAGGTGGCGTGGGTGTTTAATGAAAAGCGAGCAAGGTGCGCACATTGGTCGTCATTCGGTTGCACCTGTTGCGCTCACTCGATTGGCGGAAAAGCCCCTGGGAAAATCAAGAGGGGGAGAGGAAATTTGGAGGTGGGAAAATGAAAAAAGGGGGAGGAGAAAACGGTGGGCAGAGCCAGTGACAACCAAATAAAATGAGTTATATTTGCTATTAAAAACAATTTATGGTTCATTATAATAAAACACCTTAAAATAACTGAAAAAGGTATCTGCAATTTAAGAAAACTTTTTGTTTTAATTTCGCTTTTGAAGTTGTTTCTGTACATTGTTTGTGGCAAAATGTAGACTTTATCTTCAAAATTTATATTGAGAATTGGACAGTCTAATGATATTTTAATTTGGCTCGAATATTATCTTTTTTTAAGCACTGAAATGCAAAAGATTTGATTTCTTGCCAATTGTCAGTAAGATTTTAAAAGTTTCTTTGGGAATGTTTTTTATGAATTCAATTTTTGTTTATTAGAAATAACACAATATCTTAAATTTCACAGGTGTATTTGTTGTTTTATATGCCTTAAAGTTAGTTATCAAATTTTAGATACACATTCCGAAAGATTTTTTCATACTAACACCTTTATTCCCATCCAAGCAGCTGAAAATCTAACCTACCTCCCTTAATTTCGTAGATTCTAATCCGCCTGTATTCTTCCCCAATTCTCTTTGGGACTGCAATTTCCAGGCACTTCCTGTGTCCCCCAGGAGTTGCCCTCATTAACCGCGTAATTGACATACATCCGAATCGAAACATATCCGAATTCAATGGCGAGTACCTTCAATTACCACGTCCCGCATTCGCACTCAAGGATTTTCTTCCCAGGCTCTTGAAAGAGGCAAACACACCCACTGTAAGTTCTTCATTTAAATTGGATTTGTCGATCATTTTTCGATTCCTTCTGCTCACTTCTACTTCTCCAAACTGAAGTTCTCACCCACCGCTGCTGGTACCCACATAAAAATAAAATAAGGTTAACTAAGTACCTCTTATGGGTTCCGCATTGACGTCATCAATTAATTTCACTTTAAAATCGACGGTTGGACGAAAGGACTCTGGGAAACTGCAATCCTTTTGCGAGGGGTTGCACTGTAAATATTAGATCTTAGATCCCAAAGGGGGCTCTCCAGATGGGTCATTGCTTTCCCACACCCCATTATTTTTATTCAGTATTGAATTGCATGCATGTTTCTAGTTTTTCCACAATTTTTAATTAGCAGTAAACTTTGCGCGGCAACGAAAAACAAAAGAACCCGAAACCAATTCGATTTGAAACCGAACCGAAAAGTAATGACAGCATAAATACTTTTCCGAGTGGTTGGTGGTTCTTTTTCTGTGTGTTGTATATGGAATTTTTGGTGGTGCAGAGTGATGCACATTTTGGGGTCGCCACAAAACATCGGACTCTCGGTATATTGGTATATGTAGGATACCAAATCCAAAACGAAATCTCAAGTGTTCTCTGTTCTGCGGCCGCCTTTGCCTCATTTCGTTTAACACTTTATGTGACATTTAAGTGCCGGGGAAAAATGTCAAATTTCCTCCTCCTCGCCTCCACCAAAAATGCATGTACAGCGGTCTAAGCCCCATTTTCCCCTCTTCGGCTTTTCCCCTTCGATTTTTCAAGGGGTTAGGAACTTGATTGGGGCGGTGGTTTTAGTCAAGTGTCTGGCTTTTGTGTGGGAAGATTTCTCCCCCTCATGTGAAAAGTGCAAAGTGCGATTCCTGGTCTGATTTTCATGGAAAGCAGCGTAAATTGATTGGTTATTGTCTAGGAAATTATAGAAATATCTTAATTAGAAGGGGCTACATTTGAAACTAATATAGGTCATTAATTAACTGCCTTATACAATTAAAAAAAAATTTATTTTTCTATGCCATTGAAAATATTATTTCAGGTGCCTTTGCATGTTAAAAAATTAATAAACCTATCAGAATTTTCATTTCATAATTTATTCTTCATTTCATTGAATTATTCATTGGTTTTTATTCTTCAATATCAATAAGAAAATTTGATTGACTGAAAATTAGCGGCCTTCTTCCTTGTTTTCCTTCGCCACAAAATCCCTTCGATTTATCCTTAAAGTGTGCCGACAACAACTGTTATCCCTTGACAACCCTAACATCATCATCATCATCCCGAGCATTGTCAAAACGATCATCGTTATCTGTTTTCATAACTGTCAATTGTTGACTCTTGTTTCGAACTGCATTTGAATGTCTGGCCTCAAAAACATTTTGCCCATTTTCATTCACGAAAAAAGGAAAACAGCTGGAAAGGTCCTTGCGGGAAAATAAAGAGAGAGAGAGAGGGTAGATCTATTGGGAAATCCTTGGGC